TTGGCTTTACACTCTCGCGTGGTCATGCAACATGTACAGACCACAATGAACACAGAATCACGAATTAAAGAATTAAAGGATGGATGAAACTATCATAACAGCGGCCCCATTTCTCCACACCCGGTGAATCATGTACCAGATAGATCACCTAGAACCCCATGCTGGAGCAATGGTGAGACGTGCTTTTACGAGGATCTTAGCATCTTCTTCCAAGGTCGAGAAAATCTTTTCTGTTGAAGCTCCCCTTCTGGGCTAAGCGTGCTGCACGACTCTCCGCGTCCAGCCTTACTTTTGGTTGGAGTTTGGCTGAGTCGCCCCTACCTGTGTCCAATAACGGGAAGGGTGCGCCCCACTTATCGACAGAGTAGCCACCGAGAATGTGACCCTGTGGACGTGATTGGTTGGAGATTGGGTTGGGATGATTAGAGTGGCTACCAAAGTGGAGCCGGGAGAATGAATTCACGGTTGAAAGATGTTCATCGTGCGTGGTTAACTGCTCTCCGGGGGATTCGGAGGGGCCGCGATGTACCAAGACTCCACCCCTCGACAATAATATAGGCTCGACTTGCTCCTTTTCTCATGTGTCTTTACGCCTCAAGGTCTTTACATTCATTCCGGCCTGCTATATAATCGAAGGCTTCCCCCCTTCTTTTTTTTTGGCGCCCGTGCGAATTCTCGGCCGCCCCGTCTACATTAATTTATCCTTCCTGGATCGGAAATTCCCATCGGCGACTCCATAGCAAGTTTTTGGAGGTCAATTCTCACGTGGAGACCCATTTTCGCCATGTCGACCGAATATTCCGAGAAGATGCAGGCTACGGAGCCATACGCGGAGGAGAAGCAGGAGGGTGAACAGGTCAACGCGTCTGGACATCGTCAGGAGGTCGATCGGAACTTCAGTCTCATCAGTCTTTGCGCCATCGCTGTCACGACTGGTAACACTTGGATCGCTCAGGGTGGTAGTGTGGTGACGGCATTGAGTAACGGTGGACTGGCAGGATGTATCTATGAATTGTACGATCCACCTGAATTTGTATCGGATATACTTGACTAACCCTTTCTAGTATCGCCGTCTCCATTTGCTACTGGATGGTCGCCGCCTCAATTGCCGAGCTGGCATCTGGTATGCCCTCCGCTAGTGGTGTATACCACTGGGCTTCTATCACTGCTGGCAAATATGGTCGTGTCTGCGGTTTCTTCGCGGGTTGGTGGAACTGTCTGGCTTGGATCCTTGGTGCCGCCTCCATGTCTTTGATCATGGCCCAACAGCTCGTTTCGATGTATGCTTTGATGCACCCCGGCTTCGAGGTCCAGACCTGGAACACCTTCGTGACCTTTATCATTTGTACCTGGGTGTGCTGCTGCATTGTTCTCTTTATGAACCGCTTCTTGCCTTACATCGGTAACATCGGCATGTTCTTCATCCTTGCCGGAGTTTTCGTCACCATCATCGTTTGCGCCGTCATGCCTTCTGTCAACGGTTTCGAATACGGAACCAACGAGCAAGTCTGGGAGGAATGGACTAACGGCACCGGCTACTCACAGCAGGGCTTCGTCTTCGTCATGGGTATGCTGAACGGCGCTTACAGTGTCGGTACCCCCGACTGCTCTTCCCACCTGGCCGAGGAGATCCCCCATCCAAGCCGCAACATCCCCAAGGCCGTCCTTGCTCAGATGGGTGTCGGTTTCATCACCGGTCTTCTCTACATGATCGCCATCTTTTACTCCATCCATGACATCGATGCCGTCGCCAACAGCAGCTACAACTTCCCCCTCGCCGAGATCTACTACCAGGCCACTGGATCCCGAGGTGGTGGTCTTGGTCTCCTGATTGTCGCCTTCATCCCGACCCTCATCACCGCAACCGGCTGCTACATCACCGCCGGTCGCACATTGTGGACCATCTCTCGCGACCGCGCCACCCCTTTCCCGAACTGGCTCGGACACATCAGCACCAGGTTCCACAACCCCTTCAACGCCACCTTTGTCTGCGGCTGCGTCGTCACCGTTCTGGCCTGCATCTACCTCGGTTCGACAACTGCTTTCAGCGCTTTCGTCGGATGTTTCGTCCAGCTATCCAGTCTTTCGTACTTCATGGCTATCTTCCCTCACATCCTCACCCGTCGCAGCTCGTTCGTTCCGGGTGTCTTCTTCATGAACAACACAATCGGCTTCGTTATCAATTCTCTCTCTTGCGTCTACATCCTCGCTTTCGTCGTCATCTTCTGTTTCCCCTACGCGCTCCCCGTCGATGCTGCCTCGATGAACTACGCTAGTCTGCTGACTGGTGGCTTGTCCATCTTCGTCGCGATCTGGTGGTTCGTTCGCCAGGGCGACTACGAGGGCCCTAAGAACATCCCCTTGACCGACAAGGCTCTTATGGAGGATGCCCAGTAAAGGGTGAAGGATTCATACCTAGAGAGGCATTTTGTTTTTCATATACCACTTCGTTCTCTTTCGCTATACCTATGCTTCGTTTCTTACTGATGATCTTGGATGACTGTCAGATGCACTTTTCTATTTTTCTTCCTTGACGTGACGATGCGATAACAATCTCCTTTTGTATATCATCTTAATTGTACTGAGATTGCCAAGGTCATCTCGTGTATATCATGCATGCACTCATAATTACATATCTAGCTTTCTGGGATAACATCTATGAAACCCAAATAAAATATATTCAAGCAGAACAGAAGCCCTCCATCAAAAAAGCTATGTGAATGACATCCAGGCCGACAATGTTAGTTCTGCCACAGGCGATGACCATTGAGTCCGCTCTACTTGTAGATCTTCTGAACATTTGGAAGCTAATGTCATAATTGCGCCAAATTGCTCTCTTATTCCAAGGTTATGTCCGCTGCAAACAAGTCTATTCCTTTTTCTATAGAAAGCACCCTAGTATCATGCTTTCCCTATAGCCTCAGTGATCATATTTTCCCTCTTTTGACCGGTATGTGATGGAACTTCTAATGACTAGAAGTTAGATCTTAGAAGCAACGCAGCCTATGATGAACTCCCTGTTGCAATTTCAGCAGCCCAATAATGCCCGTCAAACCTCCTATTTCAGAGAGTCTAATAAGACTACGGATTGTCAAGGAGGTAAAGACAGCGTTCAATTGAGGTGAGATGACGTCGAAGGGATGGCTAGCCCAGTGGTTGCAGCGTGTCTTATCAACACCAAACTATAATGCCACCCTCACCTGTAGTCATCAGCCAATCAAGGCATAGTAATGGGTACCTCAAAACGGTGTATCAAGTAGATAAGTAAACTTAGTTCACGATTAGCCTATTTACAAAGCGGGGTAACCCAACTAGTGGAAGTGGAATAATCAAGATTTCTCGATAGTCGAACTTTATCTCGAAGTCGCTCGTGATTTTGTTTAGAATACTATGGTTTATTCTTAAAGAACGTCGGAATCCTGTTGATTTCTGACAAAATGACTATCCAAGGTTCTGCATGTTTACTTCATAGTAACTTATAGTGAACTTTTTGGGGATCCCCCCGGCAGTGTGATACAGTAGCAAGACATGAGCGGCCTCTCAGCGGGTCGCTCCCGTGTCAATTCGGCCCACAGAAATTATGAAAGATGGTAGTTAAATGTTTTTCATATCTGTTCTATTGAAATCAGACAAGTCTAAAGTCTAAGGGGAAACTGAGGTCAACGTAAGGTGAACGTGGCGTGCTCACATTATATATAATAGACAGCCACTTTCAGTTGGTATGAAACAGCTGTTTTATCTCGCTATTTCTTCTTTTCTTTCTTCTCTCTTCCTCTCCATACCAGGGCTGGCTTTCTTAGTCGAATGGACAATTTGCTCTAGACAGATTTGCCTTGAAACATCCTCCATACAGATGAATTTGTCTCAACCGGCGCCAGCATGACCATGTGTATAAAGTCTCATTAAACTTGATATGGCAGCGCGCAGGCCAATCAAGGGCCCTTTATTCTGAAACCTAACATGACCGAAACTTCCTAGTCATCGCCGGTTACTACGAGCCTTGGAAAGCAGAGTCTTGCTGCAACTGAAAAGACATGATATGACTGAACTTGTGGTCATACCCAATATGCTACCTTGCCGTGCTGTGACTTCTAGTGCAAATATTACAGCATAGGCCCAAATGAGTTGAGGACAAGCAACTTTTCAATCCATTCGGTCCTATGCTAGTAGGACCGATACGGGTGGTCATTGAGAAAAAAATCGATTGTCGCGGGCTGTATCGTTGTTGTCATTGTCGGTGTGGTCGTTGGTGCCCGTTGAAGGAGTGGAACTCAAACGAATACTTAGACTACTCAAAAATCAGCTACGTCCTGAAAAACACATACTCTGAAACATATTTCTTCAGCATTTTTTTTTTGTTTACTACCCGACGACCGACATAACTGATGGCTTCGTGGAGTCAGTCCTTGCTATACTGTGAGTGTCCGAGCTGAGTTAATAAATCCTAGTTATTGTGATTCATGGACAGCGTCGGAAATGAACTTGACCTATGCCTCAGAGTCATCCCCCGTGATCAGAGTCGATAATAGCACCTCGATCCAAACAAGTGGCAGAAAGTCAGTTCGCTTGACTTTGAAAAATCAGTACAACGACGGATTTTCCATTTTCGACGTTGTTCACACGCCATGTAGATGCGCGACATGGCTCGCTTTATGGTTCATGGGCCCGGATAACTCGTTAGAGCACGGTGAAATCGATGTGATGGAATCAACTAACAAAGGCACTTATGGTAATGCCATGACCTTACATACTTCAAAGATCTACAAGATGATTGCAAGCAAACTGGAGCTGCGAAATACACAAACTGCCTTGCAACTACCAATGACAACGCCGGCTGTAACGTGGAAGGAAAGAAGGCAACATATGGAGAAGCTTTGAACAGCAATGCTGGCGGAATAAGTCTCCGCTCTTTTGGATTCTGCAGAAAGATGATCAGTGACTGACTTGCCTTTGATAAGGTGTATGTGATGGAGCTCCGAGATGTCGGAATCCTAGTCAGAATGTTTGTCCGAGACGATAACCCAAATGTCATTTCCAACTCCGACAGCACGCCTGAACCCCCAACATGTGGCGAGGCTTTGTCTGACTTTCCGAAGACGCACTGTGATTTCGGCTCTCCTGTCAAAAACCAGATTATCATTGCGAACATCGATATCTGTGGTGACCTGACTGGTGCTAGTTCGCACGAATTGATAGGAGTGTCCTGAAACATGCACGGAATGGGCCGCGGAGAATGGGGCCAACTTCACATCTAAGTATTGGGATTTTGACAGTTTCAATATGCACGAAGCATAATAGGATTAGATGATACTCCAGCAATTTTTAAGCGTATTCAAGAGTACAGAGAGATACAAGATTTCACACTTCGGTCCTCGATGTCCACCCATCCTGTATAGCCTGTTCATTGGCCATTTTCTTAAAAGCAAATTTCTCTCGAACTTCTTGAGGTGCAGCGATTTGAATGTTTTGGCCATAAGGCTCTACCTCAGGGGCCGAAGTGAGACTTGATATGGTCCATTCAGGAGACAAGGCAGATACGGCAAGGAGAGCCGGATCCTTCAAAAGAGGCAAGGGATGATCTTCCAACGATATCCGAGCTCGAATAGGAAGTCCAGCCGTTCCAGTTCTTGCTAGCAGCTGGGGTTCTGCGACAGGCTTCGCGGCAACGAAGAAGCTCTTGGGCCTCAAGGGTAAACTGAGAATGTCATATTTGGATTGACCAACATGACCGTCATCCATTTTGATTCTTTTCTGACGATGATGTTCTGAGCTCCATCCACGTCGTTCTTCCTCCACAAGATCAAGCAAGGCAACCGGTACTAAGGCACGAGATGAAGGAACCATTCTTTGGACATTCGAGCCTAGAGTATTGGTGCCCGAGATGTTTTTCCTTCTGGTTCGAAAGGGGACCGGCGCGTCACCCTCCAACTTTGGATTTTCACTTAGTAAGTCCTCGAAGGCATCTTGGAAGGTTCTTTTGTTATCCCGAGGAAATGCAGGATGCTCGAGGTCGAACCTGGCATTTCTCATCGTGGTCGAACAGTCGCTCTAGTGATGGGAAAGACTGCAGCTAGCTCCTCGTCCCATTCGGTATAAGGTATCCATCGGTGATGACCTTGGTGGCATGCACAATATTGGATTAGCCAAGCCTATCGCTTTTTCGTCTCTGAGTGGTCATGACTTCATGATGTTGTGCTTGACAGGTAGAAGAAGGGCTTGAAAACAATAAAGTCTCCCTTCTCAGGGTCCAGTATCGAAGATGTCGTTCCTGAATCCCCACTGCATATCTGGCTGGGATCCGAATTTTCCGATTGACCAATCACGGGGTCGGGAGTGGTCGCGGGCAGGAAACAACGGCCCCCATTAGTGGAGCTTGAGAGGATCAGTTCATTGGTGGAGCGCCATGTCACCAAAACAGGGCGGTCTGAAAAAAATAATCCACCTGAATATGCATTGTTGCCGGTTGTCCGTGACGTAGAAGCCCAATGCGCCCAGTACGTAGTATTGCCTAGGAAGATATCAAAGATGTAAAACTTTGATCTTACTCAGCCGCGAGATTGTTTTGGTACCGATTCTTCCCGACGCGAACACATCACAATATTCAACACATCACTCAGTCTATACCTCAGCTGAGGCACTTGTGAAGATGAAGAGCATAATGAACATCGATAGATTCTGTAGCATAAGCACCAGTGCGTCACGGTTGACCGGGCGATGAGGCCGGACATAAAGTGGTTCCCCGTGTCCTGCCGAGGACGCAGCCGGATTGGTCCGAAATTTCTGCGGGTTCGGACCCATCCCTTTCAAAACCTTTTCCTCCTTTCCTCTTCTCTCTGGAAAGCTTCAATTGACCCTTCTCCTCTCCATACATCCCTCCGGGTTTAACGCACATCAAAATGGCCTCCGTCCCCGCCGTCGTCCAGGCTCCTGCCAACCCCACAGGTCTTGACCTGTACTCCCGTTTCGCCTTCGCTGGCGCGATGTGCTGTGCCATCACCCACGGTGCTGCCACTCCCCTTGATGTGTAGGTCGAATCCAGAATCGCGCGATATCAATCGAAATTTTTCGCTGACGACATCTCTACAGCGTCAAGACCCGCATGCAGCTTGACCCCGTCACCTACAACCGCGGTATGATCGGTGGTTTCCGCCAGGTCATCCAGAACGAGGGTGCTGGTGCTCTCCTCACTGGTTTCGGTCCCACCGCTGCCGGTTACTTCATCCAGGGTGCCCTGAAGTTCGGTGGTTACGAGTTCTTCAAGCAGCAGTCCGTCAACTACCTTGGCCTCGAGTCTGCTACCAACAACCGCACCGCTGTCTACCTCGCTTCCTCCGCCGCCGCCGAGTTCGTTGCTGACATCGGTCTCTGCCCCCTTGAGGCCACCCGTATTCGTCTGGTCTCCCAGCCTACCTTCGCTACCGGTCTCATGAGCGGTTTCTCCAAGATCCTCAAGGAGGAGGGTATCGGCGCTTTCTACTCCGGATTCGGTCCCATTCTGTTCAAGCAGTAAGTGACAACCCTAAAAATCGACGCGAAAATCGCGTACGCGCTTTTCTTCTCTTTCATGTCCTCTAACATGTTTCCCAGGGTTCCTTACACTATGGCCAAGTTCGTCGTCTTCGAGAAGGTCTCCGAGGCCATCTACAAGTCCGTTGGTGACAAGGACGCCCTTTCCAACGGTGCCAAGACCGGTATCAACCTTGGCTCCGGTCTTATTGCCGGTCTTGCCGCCGCCGCCGTTTCCCAGCCCGCCGACACCATGCTCTCCAAGATCAACAAGACCCCCGGTCTTGCTGGTGAGGGTACCGTCTCCCGTCTCGTGAAGATCGCCAAGGAGCTCGGTCTCCGTGGCTCCTACTCCGGTATTGGTGCCCGTCTTGTCATGGTCGGTTCCATCACTGCCGGTCAGTTCGCCATCTACGGTGACATCAAGCGTATGCTCGGTGCCACTGGTGGTGTTGAGATCGGCAAATAAATGACTCCTTCGTTGTTGCCGCAGGAGGATAATAGAGATAACCCTTAGAATTTTTTGATTAAAGCCTTGTCCATCCCTCCATCCCGATGTACAATACTTCGTCTCGTTTTCCTTCAAGAACAGCCACGGTTTCCTTTGTTTCATCAGATCTACTCGTAACTTTTTATGTTCTACTACACAACTGAATTATTATGTCTTGACAGAGAAGTATCTTATCCGGTTGTAGCTGGCGTAATAAGCATATCCAAGTCAGGTTTGCCAGGTTTCCCCGAGGCTTCTGCCCAAGGTATAATTGATGGCAATCAGTCAATTTACTAATCATGATTCATATAGTTATAGAAAGCCCATGCAGGAACAGCCCACTCCCAAACCGGGCATTGTTCAAAACACATAGCGGAAATTTGGATTCTGTCAATGTGTCAGTCTGTATCTGGCCGAGGGAATCATTTTGAGTCCTTACCTCGAAATCAGTCAAGTCAGCCAGCTCGTCCGCTTGCGATATACCCTCGGTACCTTCATTACTAGCGGCCGCATCTCGCTTTTTGTTTCGAGAAATCAGAAGCATCCGAAGGCAAAGAGCGAGCACAGCCTGAGCAGCTGCACATGAAATGATCAACTTGCAGCCAGTCTGATAGATAGGTGCTTCTTTCGCTAGAAAAGCATGGGGACCGATGATATTCCCAGCACAGTAAGCTAGGAAGACAAGGGCAACGCCAGTACTGCGTTTCGTGTAGCCTCCGAGGTTAGTAGCAGGCATCTGCAACGCCAGCACCAAAGAGCAGACATATGCCCCACAAATATAGTAACCAAACAACACGCCCACTTTGTGGGTCTCATGATTCATGTTCCACAGTAGACAGGTACCAACGATCGTCGGCATTAGATAAATGAACATGACGATCGTGCGCGTATTACGAAAGCGCGAGGCTAAGAAAGTTCCGCTCAAAATATAAAAGATCTGAAACCCGCCCATTGGGATTGCCAGTGCAACTGTGGTGAGCGCGTCATCTGTCAGACCTTTGATGATGAGCTTGCTGAAATTGGCAATGCCGCCATTTATGACCTCGTTCAATAGAGTGAAGAGGAACAGAATCCAAACTTGAGGATCGACTAATGCTTCTCTGATTTGATACCACTTAATCTTGTGGTTGATCACACCTGTTCGCCCCAGTCGATTGCGGCCAATCAAAAGGACCTTGTCTTCGATATTGAAGCGTCTCGCTGAGATGATGTCGTCGGGAAGAAAGAAAAACATCAAAATGCCCCAGCAAACTGTGATTCCACCAAGAATCAGGTAAATAGCTCGCCAGACTGCGATTGTCTTGATTTGTCCGATTCCATATGTCAAGACACCGCCAATCACAGCCCCGAGTCCATTGCAGCTGTAGAAGACCCCAGCACGGAATGGCTGCTGAGAGCGTGTATACCACATACCCACGATCATCATGAAGCAAGGCGTGATGGGCGCTTCGAAGACACCAAGCAGGAAACGGCAAATTCCCATGCCAGTGAATGAAGTACAAGCAGCGGTGATCATGAGCATGGCACCCCATGCGATGACATTTCCAGAGACGACTTTGCCTAGCCGAGTCTTCTGTGCAAGAATATTCCAGGGGTACTCTGCAAAAAGGTAGGCAAAATAGAAAATACTTGCTAGCCAGCTATATTCATTGCTTGTCATATGGGTCGAAGACAGCAGATCGAAGACGGCAGAGTAGCCTAATGCCGACTTGTCTATGTATTGCAGAGTATAGGTACCCGCAAGTAAAGGTAGAAGCACAAGATCCACTCTGCGAACTAGAGCTTTATTGCGTGATTCATCGTCCATGAGGGCCTGGACGGCTTCGTTGGTGTAGCCATGTTGGTGGAGAAAGACCTCGCCTTCATCAAGATCAGTGATGATCCCCAGTTGAACATCCTTTTCATCGGTTTGCGTGATAGACGCTGCTTTTTTATCTTCTTTCATGGCTAGGAATCAAATATAGTAATTATGGACATAATCCTAAAGAAAAGAGAATTTGAACTTCCCCCAGGAGACCTCCTTTATGAGAGAAGTCGGCGACTGTCCGTTATCTCTCTTTTCCAAGACCCCAACTTCCAAAACTAGACAGTTCATGCGGAGCTCATCCTTGCTCGGACAGATTCCGAAAGCTGATATCTCCACGAGATAAAGTGATAAACGTTTCCCCCTATCTATTCAGATAACCCGCGTCTCCACTCCTATGAGTCCTGTCGATTCCCCGCACGGAGCTATTTCTGAGCACCGGAGAGAACCGCGCAATTGGTTATAACGTAACACTCAGCGTCGACTTATCCTCTCCATTACATTTAATAAAGGACATTCACCGCGATGGTAGACTATACCCCTCCTTCTGTCACCCTCCGCCAGGGTCATGTCATTGGAACCTCAAGGGAGGAGACAACCCCGCATCCTGTTGACGCGTTCCTGGGCGTTCCGTACGCTCTTCCCCCCATTGGAGAAAGACGATTCAAACCAGCAGAAAAGGTGAACGCCTCTACTGACACCATTGATGCCTCGAAATTTGGTCCTGCAGCTCCAGGCAAGCCATTGCTCGCCAATGGTCCAAAACTAGAGCAAAGCGAAGATTGTCTCACTGCCAACATCTTTCGGCCTGCTGGAACTACTGAAGCAGATAAGCTGCCCGTGGCGATTTATGTTCATGGCGGTGCTTTCAATCGTGGTGCGGCATCGATGCACAATACCGCCTCTATGGTCGCTTGGTCCGAGTCTCCTTTTATTGGCGTCAGTTTCGGGTATCGCATCGGAGCTTTGGGATTCTTACCATGTACTCTCTCAAAGAAGGAAGGTCTTCTAAATCTTGGACTGCGTGACCAGGTCCTCTTGTTTGAATGGGTACAGGAGAACATCGGGAAGTTCGGAGGTGATGCTGGCAATGTCACGCTGTTCGGTCTGTCAGCAGGAGCCCACTCGGTGAGATACTCGCATAGCTTACAACTTTGTCCCTAGACTGACTGTGTCTTAGATTGGCCACCATATCCTGAATTACAATGACCAGTCCCCGGCATTATTCCACCGTGCCATCATAGAATCCGGCTCAGCAACATCTCGCGCCGTCCGCCCCTACAACGCAACAGTACACGAAAGCCAATTCAAGAATTTCCTCAAGGAAGCCGGCTGCCCGTCCAAATTGCCCGAAGACGAAATCTTCCCCTATCTCCGCTCTCTCCCGAGTTCGACCGTGACAGACGCGCAAACCAAAGTGTTCGACAAGTACAACCCATCGCTCCGATGGGCTTTCCAGCCCGTAATCGATGACGATCTCATCGCCCGGAAGCCACTGGATGCCTGGAACTCTGAGCTGTGGAACAAAGTCCCAATAATGACTGGATACAACAGTAACGAAGGAACGTACTACGTCGACAAGAAAATGTCCGACCCAGCGCAGTTCCGTCATTTCTGGAAAAGTCTCCTACCAGAACTCTCTTCTGACGACTTGGATACCATCGATCGCCTCTACCCTGACCCCAGCTCTGATCCCAATTCGCCGTATGTGGAAACCAGGACTGGGTACGGTCTTGGATCACAGTATAAGCGAATTGAGGCTGCGTATGGACACTATGCATACGTTGCACCTGTTCGTCAGACGGCGCAGTTTGCCTCGTCTCAAGGTGTACCAGTTTACCTGTACAACTGGGCTTTTCCAAAGACTGTTGTTGGTCGGGCGAACCACGGAGAAAATATGGCATATGAGACTTTTGATAATGCTATCACGGGGGTATCGGAGTCACAAAAGGAGCTCTCGGGTACTCTCCATGCATATTTGACTAGCTTTATTACAAAGGGTGATCCGAATGCCATCTCGGGTCGTTATGGGAACCGACCTGAGTGGAAGATTTACAATCCAAGTGATGCACATGTCTTGATTTTTGGACAGGGGAATGAGGAGCTCATCGGGGGTTCCACTGCTCCCGCTGCTAAATTTGTGAAGGATGAGTGGGCGAAGGAGGAGACTGAATTTTGGTGGTCGAAGGTCCCGATCTCCCAGCTTGCTTGACATAGAAGGCCCAAAATTTGCAATTACTAGACTGCATAACTAAATACAATGTGTCTATGCTCCTTTTTGGGCACAGTGACAACTCCTTTCTTAAAAGGACGGTTCAAATGAACTGTACTTTGAATCATGATATATTGGGTGAGTTTAGCAAGTAGTAAGCTACCGAAGCATCTATTTCATAGGGCTCGATGAATAATCAAAATGCGCTAAACAAAGAACCACGGTAGTCGAACTCTTCAGCAGTCACCATTGAAAAGTAAAGGTGCTTACAACTTCTGCTTCTTATCATCCGCACCGACAATGGTGGAAGCTACCCCAGCAAATAGTGACTGGGAAGCCCATGATGCAGGCCAGGCAAAACCTCCATCAATATCATCATGATCCTCACCTGACAAAAGTTGGTCGATGACCGCGATGAAAATATAGGCACCGATACCGGTGAAAATATGCCACCTATCCAGAGAGTTAGTCTCTCGGCCCACCAAAAGTATCCCATCAGTAAATATACTGAAGACTTACCATCCATGAAGCTCCAGTAGCCATGCCCAAGGAAGCCCAATTATCGCCCGTGCACTTCTGAGCCCGTCGCACACCCAGCCATCAACCACCCAGACAATATATCCCAGATGAAAGATGACTTAAATTGAAATTAGTTTGGCTTGTCACAAGATTATACATTACAAACAGAATGACTCACCAGCCCCAAAGACAACCATACCCCAAAGCTGTCGGCGGGCTGCAGAATTCTCGGCGGTGCGTCGTTTAAGTAGCTGCATAGTCCGGATACCGATGACAGCAATGCTGCCAACAAAGAACGAAGCATGTAGAATCAATTCATCTGTTCTGACATGGTAGATTACAACAAGCGCGAGAGCCAAGTAAACACAAAGACCTGTGACAAACGAGCCCTTGCGATCGGCGTTCACTGTCAAGACACGATGAACCAGTGGAGTTGTTGTGAAAAGCATGGATAGGTCGTCCAACATCTGCGTGTGGTATTGAAGACTGATATGGAAGGCCGCGGAGCAAATGCCAACCGCCATCAAGCCCCAATAAGGAATGGCGCGAGCGAATTCGACATTGCGCTTCTGCTGTAGTTGACGGAGGCCATAAATGGCATATATGACTGAACAATCGCGTTAGAGTTCATGAGCTTTTCTACGATCCCGCGGCTTACTGTAGCATAGGTTGGTCAAGCTGTTGATGAATTCCGCGACATATCTCGTCACAACGTAATCCTGCAAACGATAGAAATGAGAGTCAGCTTCGTGGAGCATTAATCGGTGTGGGTTCGCTACCTCTTCACAGAAGCTGATCTTTGTTAGCTAATGATCCATACGACTTTCATAGTGACTGACTTGGCTTTAGAGCTTGGTAAGCCCCAGAATGCATCGGCAGGGGTATTGATACTCAACATGGTGGATCCAGGTGTGAGATGATAGATATGGTTACGGGCGCAGTGGATTACGTGGAGGGAAAGAGGAGAAAGTCAAGCCTTGTGAAAGATCCCAGTCAATCAACGAGATGACGGGGAGATGACAAAGCAAAGTAAGCAGGCAGCAGCGAAAGCAAGAAAGATGCAATTTAGAATGAACCTGATCACTTGAAATCAACCCTGGCGCTACTAGAGACCGGGTGCAGAAGCTGGCGACCCTGGTGTGGTGATGGTGTTGCTTCGAGGTTCTGTCCCGTCCTAAAGTTTTGACCTCAACTTTCCCCTCGCCCGCCAATTCCTGTTGTAAGTCTCTCTGCGATCACTACTTCGCGTACATCCTTCATGTGAAAACGTCCCTCTTCAATGTAATCATTCAGGAGCCTAGATCTCTCTATTCCCCCATCATGTTTTTCAGCCTAGTCTGGGTTTTGTGTTCTTGTTTCCGCTCTTCGGTATGTCAAGCAACGTAAAAACCCATCATATCTTTGAGTATAAAATTGTAAGTGGGTTTGAAGCGGAAGCAATGCTTTCGGGCTCAACTTACTCAAGGAGTCTGCTGATGGCCTGACCATAGTGACTGCTGCGTGTCCTGGTGACCCATGCCGACGGCACGAATGTATTGGCGGGCAGAGGCGAGAACGCCAGAGGTGCTCTATATCCGCAAAAGTCCTGGAAGACTTTGTGCGACTTTTGCTTGGCTCTTTAACTTTAGCCATATTCTTGGCATCTGGAGGATGGACGACAAAGACCAGCCTCACCAATTTTGACCCGAGCTTCCTGTTGTAGATGGTAACTCCAGGATACTCAGCGACATGATGATGACCTGAACGATATTCTTAAGATCTGGAACATAATCCTCGTCTTCGTGAATGTCTTTCATGCCAAGAGGGCGCAACGCAAATCTAAGCCGTTTCTGGTCCATTTCTCTCCCATAGGAACTGCCCACGGCCCGGTTTCGCATTTGAAATAATACTCCTCCGATCCCACGATCTGACGCATCCACGGCTAGGTGATACTGAATGGTTGGATCTCCTCCTACCAGTTGGATCTTGGAGAAGAACTTCTTGGTCCGATCAAAGACCTTTTGTTGTTTCGAAGTCCAATCAAATGAAATCACCCTCCTCTGTTTTCCCTTCCCAGTTGCATTCACACATTCCTTGAGAAACGATCTACCGCCGTCACAGGAGCGGAAAAGTGACTTTTTGCGCAATAGCCGGCTCTTATCACCCACTCTGATATAAGCACGATATTGACCCTTGCATGCTCCCAATAGTACCCAGATATAGAACATACCGCATGGCTGAGACAACAGGGTCGCTGGAGAAACTGCTTGGTAAATACCAGCCCGGTCGTAAGTTCAGGAGTGCTCTCGTATAAAAAGGCTTGTTGATACCGGGTTGTCCTTTCCGTCTAGCGCCGGATTGCTTCCCAAGTCTTGTTATGATGCCGAGCTGCGCCATCCTGTAGTTGCTGCGTGGAATCATTCAACTTGCCTGGCCCATTTAATGATTTCAAGAATTCCTCGAGGAAGAGGCGATTCGTTGCCGATGTCAACATCTAGAGATGGTATATATGTGTTTTCCTGGCTGAATAGCCTCTATAAGTTTTCCTCTTGGTAAATCTGTGGGAATGTCTCCCCTAACAGGTATAAGGGGAGAGGTTCTCTGAACGTCATTTTCAGGAGACTGAGCTTCTTGAGCTCTAGTGTGACTTGCTTAATCTCAGAACTATTATTAATGTCAGCTTTCTAGCCCATTTCTGGTTTGCTTCTGAAAAGGAGTGAATGCAGAGCGATTTCAACTTACACAAAGTCAAGGCATATATATCCTTTGACAGTCTCGATAATCTCGTAAAGTCATTCAGGACCTAACACGCACCGAGGGTAAAAAGTCAGGATCCTCCAGCTTTATCACGTTATTGACGAGATAACAGAGAGATTTCAAGTGAACGGAAGGTATTTCACTTCCTAACAACACCTCTTGGGGAAATCGTCTTTCCATAGGACCCGATATTGTAGACGAATATCAGGGCCATGAACATATATAGGAACGCTCGAAAACCTCATCATTTTTTGCTTGCGCAATGGCGCAGGGCAGCCATTCACATTCCTCAAAGGACCGACTTCATGCGAAGATGGTGGCATTTGTAAGAGAAGCATTCGTGTCATAGTGAGATCGGTTGGGCATGCTCTTTTTGTGAGATTGTCGAATTCCCAGCATCATTCGTCATGGTATCAGTAGGTCAGGTTCACGTATTTGAAAGGATTCGAGGCTTTAAATGAAAGATTAGATCACATTAATTGATGGTGGGGATGATTCTTTGTCTTCTTCCTACCTTCAACTCTGAACCACTCTTTCACTTGACAACATAATCAAACAAAGCGCAGCATCATAGACGCCTTTTGTCGTCCTGCTTTCTTTTTTGTTGAACTGGAGTGGAGGGTTGGTGAAGGAAGGAAGAAGAGGAAGAAGAAGGAAGAAATAGAAAAGATATTTATATAGGCAGTAAGTAATTCCTCTGCCTTTCACATGGTATATCTGCTTTAGGCAGCAGTGTGGATCAGTAAAATCTCTTTATATACTGTATGTGCTGTCAGATTCGTTTGTGCAATCAAATATTCGGGTTTGCGAATGTGCAGTAGGTCTTGGACATCAATATATACGAGAGTGATAGGGAAAGGCGGTAGACTTGATGTTTCACCAGAGCTTGAACCAAGAGCCAAGACGAAAGTTCGTAGTCAAAGGGTATTTGAAGATTCATATGTTGCCCAGGTGAGCAAGGCCATCCAGTTGACTTAGAAAATACAATGGTGGTACCTGGTTGCTGTGCCGGGATAGGCCAAAGATAGAGCCGGAGATAGCCTGAGAATCCATGGAAGGAAAATGCAAATATTGCAAAACACCATGAATATCGGTTTGCTTGTCAACCTTGGAGTTCTGATGAGTGTCGGGGATAGGATTTAAACAAAAAAAGGGAAGCTTTCCAGCCAGGACTTAAGAAGGTCCAAAGTTTAATCTACTATATAGTATATCCCGGTTCCGGCCCGCTACCGGCATTTTCAAATCCCGCTCACGCATCATGGCCAATTTTTCTTAACTCCGGACGTTTTGGACATATATATGGGGGAAATCTTCCCAGAGACTTTGTTACTACTTGAAAATAGCCCCAGCTTTGGATCTAATGACTACCAAAGTGGTAGTTGTCGACGACTTGCCCAACAGTCTATCGCCATCGTCAACTATGCCGATACCCGAAAGCTCGACGAGCCCCAATGACTCAATCGCTGGTTATGCAGAGCAAAATCCAGATCAAGACCCTGAAAATCAACCCGTCCAAAATGTGGAGTGTCAGCCTGAGGAGTTCTCTGTCTTTACAAAGACTGAGAAAAGGGCGATGGTTGCGGTTGGCTCCCTGGCAGCCTTCTTCTCACCCTTATCAGCCAGTATCTACTTCCCAGCACTAGACACTATAGCGACAGCCTTAGATGTATCTACCTCGAAGATTAACATCACCGTTACAACCTACATGGTAAGAAGGCAATTTATCTCATTGGGCTTTAACTTCAATGGCTAATCATTCTATTTTTACGATCAGATCCTACAAGGGCTTGCACCGATGTTCATCGCAGGCTTCTCCGACACGGCAGGAAGACGCCCAGCCTACATGATTTGCTTCACAATCTATCTCGTGGCCAATCTTGCGCTCGGTCTTCAAAATAGCTACGTCGCCTTACTACTTCTCCGAATGCTACAGAGTGCCGGCAGCAGTGGTACGGTCGCACTTGCCAATGGCCTGGTAGCAGACATCGTCACCTCCTCAGAACGAGGAAGTTATATTGCATTTGCCACCATCGGAAGCATGCTAGGTCCTTCATTATCTCCCGTGATCGGCGGTCTAATCAGCCAGTATCTGAACTGGCATTGGATTTTCTGGTTTCTTCTAATCCTTGGCGGTGTGTTCTTCACCTTCCTCGCGCTGTTCCTGCCAGAGACGTGTCGGAAAGTCGTTGGGGATGGATCAGTTCCGCCACCTGCCCTGAATATGTCTTTGACAGATATTATAAGACACAGGCGGCGAGTGAAGAATGGTCTTAGTCCTGATCCTCAGAAAGTTGCCGATGTCCGCAAAAATTATCGCTTGAGCATTCCTTCCCCTTTGCCGACGTTGAAAGTTTGTTATGACCTTGAAACAATGTTGATCTTGTTAACGACCGGATTAATGTTTGCCTGTTTCTACGCCGTCATGACTGGAGCGACTACGTCGTTCCACGAGGTATACCATTTCAACGATATCCAAACCGGCTTGATGTACCTTCCCATCGGCGCCGGTGGAATAGCGTCCGCTTTTTCAACGGGCATCATCGTCGACTGGAATTATCGTCGCCATGCCAAGAAAGCAGGAATGCCGGTGCTGAAGAATGTTCGACAAGATCTTCGCAATTTCAATATTGAAAGAGTCCGAATAGAAGTGGCGCTGCCGATGTACTATTTGAGTCTTATAACAGTCATTGCATACGGATGGGTGCTAGGTCGGAAAGTCAACCTGGCAGCCCCTGTCATCCTCCTATTCATCTGCGGATGGTCTTTGATGGGTACGTCCCAGGTACTTTCAGCATTAATGGTCGACATCTGGCCGGGGAAATCAGCCTCTGCTACTGCAGCGAATAACTTGTTTCGTTGTGAATTGGGCGCCGCTGCGTCTGCTGCCATCAGCCCAATGTCTGAAGCCATGGGATCAGGATGGGCATACACGACCCTGTCGTTGATTGCGCTTGCAGCGTCTCCTTGCCTCTGGCTTATGATGAAACAGGGAATTAAATGGCGACAGAGGAGACTTGGGAAGAAAGACGAATCGAACGCGAAGAAATTTGCAATGGAGGTGAAAGCCTAGTCTTTCTACGCCCCTTACTTGTTTTTGTTGTAATTAAATAAAAGTTCATGGCAATATACTATAAATACATTGAGCTCTAATCTGTCATCTACATTTGTCCCACCGTACCGAATTCCTAAAGACAGCGTCCGCATATGAACGTACTACAACGCCGAACCCACCTAAACAAAAATGGATTCCGATGCATGCTGGAAGGTCAATACCTGAAAGCAAAAGGAGGTCGGGATTTACTCCAGTGAGGCGATATAAGCCCCCAAACTTGCAATGTGGTAATCATATCGCACAAAACGCGATGTTAGTCATGTGTGGCACCACACATAACCATCATTGTGAGCAAAAGCGTGCCAGCAACATCCCTGGTAGAGATAATGACAGTGAAAACAAGGCAAATGAAACAAGGCAAATGGTGGATACCGGTCAGGAGAATGGCAACGTTGTTTTACCACACATGACATTTTTCGCTTGGTTGCTCAGCATCGTGCTCTCAACCTCGGAATTAGGAAGCTCCTGCTTGCTGAAGGGATTGCTTAAAGGGAAGATCTAAGGCGAAGGGAGGCGGAAACCTCCCGTCAGCAGGTGCTGGTAAGATCTCATCATCAAATATTAGGGTCTTTCTGGACTGGGGAACTGGCTCAGAAGTGGTTGATGATTATATTTGTCATGAGTGCCCGAGAAGGGAGACAGGAGAGGAGAGGGGATCATCTGAGATCTTACCTGGGATTAGTGGTCACCAAACGGGTGAGGGTCTGGACAGGATACTGAGAGCAGCCAGGCGGTTGAATTGTCAGGGACAAGGATGATATAGAAGGAACTGGGGGTGAGTATGAAGCTTGAAGGAAGGGAAGAGAAGAATGTGAGAGAGGAGTGGGCGCGGTATTAATTAGGAGGTGAATGAGGGCGAAGGTATAAGAAGTGTTAAATATAACTGGTAAAGATAATTGAATGATCGAACGGGGGGGACTTATTAGAGAGCAAAAGTGAAAGAATGCAAAAGTGAAAGAATGTAAAGGCATATAGCAAGCAATATATGGATCTACTTTGTGTTTTTGGGTGGGGCTTAGAGGCTCACTACTCCAGTGCTGATATCAAGTTGAAACCAGCGTAGCTTGCAAAGTTGTTGCAGAAGGATATCAGGTTAAAAGTAACATGGTTTAATATGGGGTGAAAATATTTCATATATACAGTGGCCTCTACTAATTCCATGTGCATACGCTTTGTTTTATTCCTTGAACAATCTTCAAATTGAGTCTAGTCTGGTAAGGTCTACTGTACATTCTCACCCTCGTCGTCATGGAAGATAACAGCCCCCCAATTCGGACGATTGAACCGCTTCCCTCCCAATGTCTGAACCAACCCGTCAATTTGAGCAGTCTCAATTTCATCCATCTCAAAACATTTCTGGAGATTCCCCGCGATTCTAGCAGCCTTCGTGCTTTTTGGAATTACACTCCACCCCTTCTTTACCCCCCAGCTCAGCAACACATTTCCCGAGCTGCAACTCCTTTTCTCCGCAATGCTATTCACCACAGGGTTATCATGCAACGTACTTCCACTTCCTCCGAGTGGTCCAAAGGCGGTTTGATGAATATTGTGCTTCACACAGAAACCATTCAGCTTCTTCTGTGGCAACAGTGGCTGAATCTCTGTTTGATTAACAGCCGGAACAATCTTGCAGGTTTTAAGCAATTTTTCCAGATTGACCGTGGAGAAGTTCGCGACTCCAATTGCTCGTACTTTGCCTGTGCTCAGTAACTTCTCCATCTCCCTCCATGTGTCGGTGAAGTCCCAGTCGGGGTCATGGGCGGTCCGATCTTCTTTTCCATAGGTTTCTGGTGTGGATGTGGGTAAAGTCACGGGCCAATGCATGAGATAGAGATCGACATATTTCAGGCAAAGATCGTCTAGTGATTTTTGAAGCGCGGAGGTAATGCGTCGGTGGTCGGAGGACCAACTTATTACATACTTGTGTTAGTAAAATGGCCTGTTAACGAAATTGGGGAACATACAGTTTGCTAGTCACAAAATATTCCTCGCGGGGAACGTTGATTGATTTGAACACCTCGCCAATCTCTGCTTCGTTTCCGTCTACATGAACGGTTAGCTCGTCGTTCATGAAGGGCAATTGTTTGAATGCTCACAGAGAGGCGCGCAGTCCTAGATTGATAGTAAGCACACGTCAGAATCAGAAATGCTTGGAGGAGCTTACAAAGTGTCTGTATCCTGCTTCGAACGCGGATTGTACGGCTGCAGCTGCTTCGCCTGGACCAGCCTTCCAAGTGCCGAATCCAATAGCGGGTATCTTTGCCCCAGTGTTCAAGGTGAAGGTTTTATCCTGAATACCGCTCGCCATTGTGTCGTAGTGAGATTATAGTTCTTGCTTCCTGGATAGGACGAGAAATGCATTCCTTAAATTCTATTCGACGGTGGGTTATCTAACTCAGCACGGTGCTACAGTAGATCGGAGAGAAGCCCGCTGCGATTGAGAGCTTTTGCCCCTCATCTACGGGATCGGACCAACGCCGTGTTGATAAACCTTGTTTAACATTAAGATTTGTAGCCAATGAACAAATTAGAAACAATTTCAAGCAGTATAAGCTATTTGCCGATACCCCGCGTTTCATTCTGAATCAAGCAGTCTCAACATGTTCCACATGATTTCTCTTAGCATCATCATCATCTTGTAGCTTACCCATCACAGCTTCATCTCGGACATCTGACCGGACCTTCTCTTCCTCGGTGGGGTAGGCGTGGCGCCACATCATCCACAATGGTCGGTCAAACAGATTATCCATACTTTCGATAGACCGACCCTTCATCTCTGGCAAACAGAAAAAGATAAAAACGACACCCAGATAGGTCAGCATCGCATAAAGCAAGAATACGCCCCATCCCATCTCGGTGATCATGTTGGGGGTGGCTCGGGTAATGCCAAAGTCCACAATCCAGTTGATAAAGAAGCAGATGGACATGCAGAATGACCGCTGAATATGATTAGCTACTGCACTTCAAACACTAGGTTCATCAATCAGACTTACAATTCTCGTTGGGAAAATCTCGGCAGCGACCACGTAGCAGGCTACAGAGTGACCAAATGACCATCCAAAAGCATAGATGTAGATGAAAACAAGTCCCACGATTCCTCCCGCTGGTGTTCCTTCAGCAGAGGAGTCCTCGGTTACTCCAGCGAAGCGAAGGTAAAGTGCCAGATATAACATGGCAGTAGCTTGCATTGTTGCACCGACAAGTAGAGGGACCCGACGTCCGACACGGTCGACCAGATATACCACGTAGAAAAGGGAGGTGACTGTTTTCACAACGCCGTATATGCCAGTATCCAATAAGGTAGTTGAGTTTCCACTGACACCGATCATGGCGAAGATTTCTGGTGCATAGTACTGTCATGATGGTTAGCGATGATATTTCGCTAGATCGACTACGAAGAAGGTGAACTCACGTTCAGAGAATCCGTTCCCGTGAACTTGTGGAACAGAAATAGCATCGCAGCAAGGAAGAAACGCTGAAAGTTGTTCCTCGAAGTAAAAATATCTTTCAGAACAACCCAGTAGTTGTGTCCAGCAAAACATTCCTGCTCATGCCTCACCTGGGCTTCAATCTCACGGTATTCAGTTTGCACATACTCGTGGTCAGCAGGCAGCTTCCTCAACTTGCAGATATTTGCCAATCCCTTCTCCTGTTTGCCGTGGTTGATCAACCAACGCGGGGTTTCCGGCACAAATGGAACCATCATGCACATCAGTGCACCGGGGATGAGCTGGATACCCATTGCCGTCCGCCATTGGGTATTGTCGTACTCCACGCCAGGGAAAGACCACTTTGAGACGCCATAGTTGATGAAGAAAGCCAACATGAGGCAGAACACAATCATCAGGTTATAGGTGGCAGTCATGGACCCACGCACTGATTTTGGGGAATTCTCTGCCAAGAACTGAGGTGTGAGCATTGATGAAGCGCCGACACCCATGCCAGCGATGAATCGACCTCCTAGGAGAACTTTATAGTCTGCCACCATTTGCATTGCGGCACCTACCACAAAGACTAATCCCCAGCCGAAGACGGACCATTTTCTGCCAATATAATCGGAAGTTGGTGCTGCGAGTAGGGCGCCTACAGAGCCACCTGCTGCGAGCATAGATGCAATGGTTCCCTAGCTTTGTCAGATACCTATATGCATGTTGAGGCCGATTGACCTACCTTTCGGTTGTCCATCTCGGTCGCAGTAAGATTACTCAATCCAAATGCATTTTCAAAGGACGGAAGGGTGAGGATTCCACCAATGTTTCCCGTGTCAAATCCATAAAATGCACCACCCCATGAAACAGCGATAAGAAGATAGAGAAGACGAAGATTGAAGATGGCTTTGGGGTCAGTCTTGGCTTCGTTACTGACCCAGATACTTGTTCCTCCTGCCATGTTAGGAAAAACAAGCCCTATAGACTTTGCTCGAGGAAGATATTTGAAATGCAGAATCTCTCAGTTGTTGCACTCGCCCAGGTGGTCGGTGAATATATAATCGCAGTGGTGCTCAAAGCTAAAGCACCCAATGCCCCACCAATCAATTCACAGCCATGCATTCCCCAGATATTCACGTACACACCCCATGGGGAAGTGGGGGTAGTGGAGAAACGCACTGAAATCGGCTTGCTGTCCGATGTTGACCTAGACTCTTTTGCGCCGGCGACCAACCCGGTCTTTTAGCACTTTACCATTTCAGGCAAGAAGCGAGCGATCGATTAGGATAAGATAAGAGGTGGTTAAGAAATCTTGGAAATTCAAAGCTTCGAGACTTACCTCTTCGCAATCTTTTCAAGCCGAGCTTGCGACGACCACCATGGCCACAACGACTATTACCGAAGCGCCCGATTTCAATCCCTCGCTCAAATCCTCCCCTGATCGAGCTTACTCCTATGCTGAAGCCTACATCCCCGCACTCACAACACAATGCCATGCCTCAAATCTTCTTATGCTCCCCAATGGTGACTTGCTATGCGTCTGGTTTGGTGGCAGCATTGAAGGTCGACCCGATATCTGCATCTACATGTCCCGGCTTCCAGCGGGGGCTAAGATCTGGATCGCAGCCAAGAAAATGACACACGACCACACGCGCAGCGAGCAAAATCCTCTTTTATTTCGCGTTCCTTCCACTGGAGAGATCCGACTGCTATATACATCCCAAGATGCCGGAAATCAAGACTCAGCTATTGTGAAGCAATTAATCTCCGTCGACAATGCAGTCAATTGGTCGGGTCCAAGTATTTTGTTCAATGAGCCGGGGACGTTCATCCGACAACCAGTCATCGTACTAAAGGATGGGACATGGGTAGTCCCAATCTTCAAATGCCGGGCTGAGCCAGGTGAGCGATGGCTCGGGAGCGACGATATCTCAAGCATCCGGATATCAAAGGACGGAGGACAGACATGGACAGAGAGGGATATCCCAAATAGCTACGGATGTGTACACATGAACATCCAGCAGCTGAAGAGCGGCTCATACCTTGGGCTGTTCCGAAGCCGGTGGGCAGATAATGTGTATTTGTCGACATCTGCAGATGGGTTGGACTGGAGTGAGCCCAAGTCCACTGTTCTTCCCAATCCGAATGCGGGTATTTGTTTTGATGTCTTGCCTTCCGGTCGAGTTGTGCTGGTGTATAACCATTCCTCTAAGGAGGATGCTCTCGGTCGGCGCGACGGTCTCTATGACGATATCAGCGATGGTACTGATACGCGTGCCAACCAGGCGAGTAAGCACGGGAAAGAAGCTTTTTGGGGTGCTCCACGAGCACCATTGTCCGTGGCATGGAGTGATGACGAGGGGGCGACCTGGAAGATTAAAACACTTGAGGAGGGTGATGGGTTCTGTCTGACGAACAACAGCGAGAAGAAGCTGAACCGCGAGCTGTCGTATCCTAGTATCTTGGTTGAAAAGAGCGGTGTGGTCCACATTGCTTTTACTTTCTGGAGACAGCGTATCAAGTATGTTCGACTTGGGGAGGACTTTTTTTTCTAAATAAACAATGTTAGATACTAGATGTCTCGACCTCTACCAATAGAATCATAAACTGTGAAATTAAAACTTCTGATACCAGAAAAACCATTGGAAGATTCATCACATAAAGGCTTATGTCCTCACATAAATTCATCTAGAGTGTCTCATAGACAAAGAATATTTCAATCGAATGTACATTCATGGTATACCTTCATTACCTCCTACATCCAGGTTCAGTCTCTGCTTAAGACTAGCATTCTCTTGTCGAAGTCTTTCGATTTCATCCTCGTAGTTTTGAAATGTTTCTTCACCTGCAGACCTTAACTCCTCAATGATCTGGAAAACGCGCCAGAGACGCAAAACAACAACCAGAGAGCCCAGATCCTCTTCCAGTCCCCGGCGTGTGACTTCGATGACGAAGGCAACAAGAATCACCAGCGAATCGAAGATGTGGAACCAATTCGAGAAGTAGCTATTTGATATAGTCAGAGTCAACCAAAGCATTCCGAGCTTCGGGAAGATCAAGATGAACAAGCCGCAAATTGATTCAGAAAGTACTCACCCGAATCCAGAGCTGAGAACTGCCACAATTAATTCCAGCATGAACAGACATGAGATCACAAAACCAGTGATACCAAGAACCTCCTCGGTGACTCCCCATCCCTCGTCAACGCCACCATGCTTTACTTTTGACTCGCAGACATACAACTGGATCAGAAAATTTGATAAGCCACAGCAGACGTCAATGGTGATTAGTAGAAGGACAAGATAGTGACCCCATCGAGAAGTGAGAAAGTCGCGAGCGGATCTTCTCCACCTAGCAATCAGGGGCTCGTCCTCAGACTGGGAAAAAGCTCGTCGGCGAATAACTCCCGAGATACGGTCGCCGAGTAGAGGTTGCAGGGTAGAGTCCATGTTGAACATCCAACTGTATATTTTCCAGGTCGAATGATCAAGTGGGAGAATTCGCGCTTTGGGCGCGACTGAATGATTACGCGGCTTGACGGTGTTGATGCTGAGGGATAATAGATTTTCCTTTGCCGAGTGAACTATAGATGAATCAGAAACACTCGGACCTTGTTAGTATCTTGTTAAAACAATTAGAATTGGCAATAGGAAAATTGTCAAGGTCGAAATCCTTATGAACTCTATTGCTAATTTAAAACAAAATTGTAGATTTACACAGCATCAGGCAAGCTCTGTTCCAGCTGCACCAGATGCGACATCACTTTCTTCACCCAGGCGGCCTTCTCATCGCTACAAGGAGTATAAGGCTTTCGAGGCCAAAATGCCTTGGGATCACTCAAACCAGCCGCCGCTCCGGCAAAATGGAAGGCAGCATATTTGGTTGGTGCAATACCTTCCTTGCATGCCTTTTCCGCCTGAGCCACCAATCCTTGTAACTTTTTGGCCTCTTTGATATCGCCAGCCTCCCATAACGCGTATAGTCTAGCCACGCTTTTTGGGAAGATATTGGCGATTCCAGTTACACATCCACTGCCTCCACCCGCCAAGCAGGGAATTAGCCAGTCCGAAGATCCAGCATAAACCCCGAACTGACTGTGCTCGAACTCTTGTGTGAGTCTCGTTACCTTTCCAGCATTTCCACAAGTCAACTTCACTGCGACAATGTTTGGATGTTGGGCGAGCTCGGATAACATGTCAGAATTCAAGTCAAGGCCGTTGCACATAGCGGGAAACTAGTCGATGATTAGCACCTAGCTTGACTATTCTGACAACTTGTTCTGCAACTCACACTATAAACGATGAGCGGGAGCTCAGTCGCATCTGCAACATCGCGATAGAAGCTTAGGATCACATCTTTGGTGACGGCCTTAACCCAGTAACTCGGAGGAAGCAATAATCCAAAATCAGCCCCGGCACTCAAAGCATCCTCCGCGAGACGAATCGACTCGGTTGTAGACTGCCCACTAATTCCAGCAATGACTGGTAGTTCCGGACGGCCAAGGTCCGATGCAGCTTTTTTTGCGACTTTAACAAGCTCCTTACGCTCCTCGGCAGAGAGCAAAACAGCTTCAGCGTTGGTCCCGGCTAGGACAAGCCCGTGGACTCCACCGCGAATCAAGTGTTGAAAGAATTTATAAGACGCATCTAGGTCTATTTCCTGGCGAGGGGTCGGCTTGTAAAGAGAAATGACTGGGGGATAAACCCCTGGTGGGGGACACTTAGACTTCGCAGCGATAGTGGATCCCATATTGTCTGTCGATTCGTGTTGACTTTTACTTTCGACCGTATCTGCTCATGTGGTCATGCCTGTGCGCCATAAACTTGCTCACCTTATAGACTTTTGAAGACTTCGCAATCATCCCGAATATACCAAGCCACGTCGGCGAGTGTCCGAGATTTCCGCCCCGGAGTCTTTTCCACAAATGCGGGGAGCTTCATACGCCCCAATCAGCCCTGCGAATGATGTGGGGAAGCTTTGGCCAGGTAGGCCGATCGATACCCCTTTCGTCTCCACCGAGGTGTTGAGCAAAGGATGCATATTTGGCGAATAGAATGGGTTGATTTTGTCAGGGCGGGCCTCTGGCTTTCCCCTCTCGCTGGTAGATAAACCCCCTCGGGGTACTCACCGGTGCGGTTCGTTCTGATACCCCGTCGCATGCAACTCTGAAAGCTTTGTAGCCCCATCGCGAATCAATCATGACAAAGCGAAAACGGGTTTGGGCCGATGAGGCGCCGGACGCCATGCCGGATGCGAGTTCGTCTGTTGAGCTCCCCGATGCGAAAGACCCGGCGGTGCTGGATGTTTTGCCGGGGATTACCCGTAAGATCACTGCTTGTGGAGCCTGTAGGAAGCAAAAGGTGTGTCAATGAATTGCTGCTTATTTGATTGGTCGGGCTCTAACAGCTTAGATCAAATGTGATATGACCAATGGACCACCGTGTACTCGATGTCGCCGGCGGAGCCTGTCATGTGTGTTGAATAAGAGTCTGCAGTCATTGGTGGAAGAGGTGAAGTATGTTTGGATTTTTGGGAGCCTTTTTTATCATTATTGACATTTATTAGGAATACCGAGCATCTCCAAACCGATATCTGCGGGATACACGAAGTATTGGGAAACATTTGCCAACATCTCAACTTGCCTTTGCCCAGAGCACTTGTATCATCCGGTGATGCACCTCAAAGCGAAAGCAAAGCCGACCACAACGACGAATTGGAGCGCGATGCAGAAGATCTCGATGGTTGTGAAATATCTCCACCCGATACTCCCTCTGGGGTTCAAGCACCTATCGACACGTACTTGGACATAGCTAAACTTGGAAGCCCTGGATCATCCGCCAATACTCCTCCGAGTGTGACACGTCAAAGACAGAATTTACCACAAGATCTTGTCACCAAGGGCGTCATCAGCTTGAGCGTGGCGGAAACCCTCGTTGAGCGATATTACACCCGACTAGACCCTTATCTATATGGGATTTGCAGCGGGTATCGCAGCCTTCAGCAGATCAAAACAGCCTCGCCGTTACTATTTGCCGCCGTCTGCACTGTCTCGGCATTACAAGATCCACAAGGTCAATCACTCTACGAAGCATGTAACCGCGAGTTCCGGCGACTGATGTCGCGGTCGCTATTCGAGAAACACGATCTGGAACATGTTCGTGCCCTATGTATAAGTTCATTTTGGCTCTCCGATGCTTCAAGAATCCTTTCCGGTGATGCTATTCGCCGTGCAGCCGATATGCGATTACATCGCAGCTTCGATCATCTCTCTAACCCAGGCGCTCCCCGATCAACGCCAACCCATAATTCGAATTCACCAATTCCGACACATAACGATACAATCGCAGTCAAAGATCGCGTCAGGCTGTGGTACCTCATTTTCATTACCGACCAACACCTCTCCATTCTTCACAATCGTGATCCCCTTCTTCGCAGTGACAAAGAAATTGCGTTGAGCTGGGAAAGCTTTCTGGCTCGCGAGGATACCACTGACTCCGATATCCGACTCATTTCACAGGTCGCACTTTTGGTCATAATGAGCCAGATTCGCGACCTACTAGGCTCGGATCAGGAGTCCCGCGTACCACAATCACTATCGAACCAGATCATACATTATTCCCGCCAACTGGATCGATGGTTCAATAAGTTCTCTGCAATATTCAAGCCGGATCCGTATATCGGCGACTTTCCCAAAAGTGGTCTCCAACTTCATTACCATTTCGGCAAGCTCTATCTTGGGCATCAGGTCTTTAAAGGATTAAATGGAGAAGCAATCCCTCCGCATTTTTTGACGGCAGCGAGCATGGCTCATGAAGCAGCCGTCGCAATCTTTGAAATGATCCTGCACGAAGAGAATATCCAACACAGCCTAGTTGGAATGCCGCATTATTTCCACATCATGATTGCGTTTGCGGGCCATTTCCTGCTGGAAGTCACGAAAAACTATCACACACAACTTTCGATTGCACCTAGTCAAGACTTTGATTTAATTCGCAAGGTATTAGGTCTGTTCCAGGCTATACCGAGCGTTCAGCAGCATCCCATTTGTCGGATGACACCCGGTCTTACGCGGAAGCTACACGAATGTGTTGCATCGCTACAGAGAGATGGGGAAATAATCGTTCCTCCACTTCCGATGTCAGCTGATGCGATGGGCTACCAAGAGAATCTTGAAGGCGACATGCATGCTACAGGATCATTCCAATTTCCCGGAGAATCGCTTGTTACACCTGTAGATGACTTTATGTTAGCCGATTTTGGAGAATTTACGTTCCCAGGAATGATGTCTAATGGTATGACTTAGTTTATGAAATATGATTCCCAATGATAGAGATCCAGTTTCCGGTACACATGCCCCTTAAATTGTAAATTCGGAGAGATCACCGACCTCGAGAGCCAATAGACGGTCTATGTCCGTATCAAGGTTTATGAACACAAATAAAGCCGCAATACCGAGCTAATAATTCTACCGGTATCAACGACGATGGATTCACATGCCAGATCCAATGCGCAAGATGGCCATCCAAAAGCTTCACCACGAATGCAGTACCGCCGCCTCGGAAATAGCGGCCTCAAAGTCTCCCGGTTAATCCTCGGCTGCATGACCTACGGCAACCCAAATTGGGAAGGATCACCATGGGTCCTTGATGAGGAACAATCGCTACCATTGCTAAAGAAAGCATTCGACATGGGAATCAATACATTCGACACTGCGAACACCTACTCCAATGGCCAATCAGAAACAATACTCGGCAATGCCTTGAGAAAATACTCCATCCCGCGAAGCAAGGTAGTAATCATGACGAAGATATACTACCCAGTTTTAGAGGATGATCCGAATTCACGACCTAATCCCGCGATCAACGACGGGCATTTGGTGAATCAGATGGGTTTAAGCCGGAAACATATCTTTGACGCAGTAGAGGGATCCTTGCAACGATTAAACACGGATTACATTGATGTCCTCCAGTTGCACAGACTTGACTCCGAAACACCGCCCGAAGAGATTATGCGAGCGCTACACGATCTAGTCTGCATGGGCAAAGTTCGGTATTTGGGCGCGTCGAGTATGCATTGTTGGCAGTTTGCACGATTGCAGTATACGGCGAAGATGAACAGGTGGACGCCTTTCGTTAGTATGCAAGGTCTTTACAATCTTCTTTATCGCGAGGAGGAGCGCGAGATGAACCCGTTCTGTGATGCGGAGGTGGTCGGGCTCATTCCTTGGAGTCCTCTTGCGAGGGGCCTTCTAGCGAGGCCATGGCAGCAAAAGTCTGCTCGTGCGGACCAAGATGAGAAAACGAAGCGCTGGTTCGTTGGGGATCAAAATGAGATGATCGTTGACCGGGTTGAAGAGCTTGCGCGCAATAAGAAATGTGCGATGAGCTCTGTTGCGATGGCTTGGTTGTTGCAAAAGGGGGCCTGTCCGATTGTCGGGCTGAATAGTGTTACAAGAATTGAGGCTGCGTTGGAGGCGTTGAATGTTGAGCTAACGTTGGATGAAATGCGATATCTCGAGGAGCCTTATCGACCTTTAGCTGTGCAGGCAATATGATCGATGAATAACAGCTAGAATCCGAAGGAAGTGTTTCTCAAAGAATGAAGATTGATCCGATAATTGTGTAGAAAGGCAGATGGAAATGGTCACCGCAGAAAGAGATGGGCTCGTACTGGGGAAAACAAATAGTTCTGCCTGAGAAGCCTGGCAGCGTTAGCCAAGAGGTGCATGAAAGCGAGCCAGCTAATGTACGTCTCATGCAAGAAACTAACAAATGACAGTCTCTGTGACCTGTCAATTAGCACGTGTTCTTATTCTTTTCTCATAATCCACAGCACTGCAGTAAGCTCTTTCTTTTCTTGCAATTCTAAAACCTGCAACCTACCCCGCTCAATATGGCCTCCAGCTTCAGTCTCCACGTCAAAATCTATATCGACCCTTCCAACGTGGAAAAGTTCCTCGAGCATTTCAAGCCAGTCTATGACGCTGTTGTAAAGGAACCTGAATGCCGGTTTTTCGAATTGCATCAAGATCCCGCGAACCCGGGAACATTGACCTGGGTGGAGAACTGGCATGTCCTCTCCTCTTCTTTTCAAGGAAACCATGCTAACAACATCTCTAGGAATACTACTACCCAATGGTTTATGGAGGTTAATACTCTTCGTTTTTTTGACTTCTTATCTATTCTCAAGAATGGGCCCATGCTGACTACATTTCTAGAATCAAATGACCAAGGCCTACTACGAGCCATATTTGGCCGCAACAGAGCCGATGTTTGTTAAGCCACGCGAGTTCAAGATTTACAATCGTCTTGCGCCAGATTATTGTATGGCTAAAGATCAGTACTAGACAGTTAGACTGTGATCTATATTTCTGGTGTACGCCGACATGGTGAAATGTCCGTGGGGTAACGCGAACAATGAGGTGTTTCAACATCCATTATGTCCGGCTGTGGCTTGACGGTGTGTTTCGATACAATTTCATATCTTGGGCAGACCCAAAATACGTACTACATGAAATTCAAATTGGGAAGATGGTATTTCCGAAAAGTCATTAAATAATCGCTTGATGCAAATGCTTATAAGTTACATAGTCTATTAGTACAGTGAGAACTACGAGGCGGTACACGAGAATACACCTCCAACGGTACCAGCTGCATAGGAGTTGATCTAGTCATTAATGTTAGTATTGATATGGCAAAAATAAAACGAGAACTTGAGATGTCACTTACAATGTCAACGACACTGGCGTAGGTTCCGGCACCGAGCACAACCAGACCAATGATGAGGATGATGGCATTGATCAATCCCATGACGATGTTCTTAGGGTCAAACAGGCTGCCCTTGCGAATGAACATGAACCACATGATAGCCGGGAAGTAGAAGGTGAATCCGGAGACGAAGAGAGATGAGATGACGGAGAGAAGATCGTCGAAGAAGGGGATGACCTCAGCGACGACAAATTCCAGGATGGTGAGGACAGTGACAACTGCGAGCCAGGTGATCCAACCCATCTTGGTGTTAATGAAGCGGATATTGGATCTTTCAAACATACGGCCGTGAATTAGACGTCCCAGAACCACAGTGTTGATGGAGCCACTGATGAAGATAACCGGCAGAGCGACACCGAACGCAATCCGGCTAAGCAGGCTACCGGCGGACAACAGAGCAGGGGACTGAACATCTTGGCCGATGAAAGCGTAGCAGAGGGCGCCAGTAAGGGTATAAATAAAGATCTCAGCCAGACCAAGGGTCCAGATTGACTTAGGGAAATCAGTGGGGGTATGCATTTCATCCATGAAGGAGAATTGGCAGAGTGCGAAACTGTAGGCAAAAATGATGTTGGAAAGAGCAATGAAGGCTTCCGCAAAAGTAATTCCCTCCTTGGGCCAGGCGGACCAGTTCACGGCAGCGAGGCCACCAGGCGAGTTCGATGCCTCAACTCCGGTTCCGATAATGGTGATACCAATGGCAAGGATAACAGAGGCAAAATCGATGTAACCCAGAATAGCCATCTCGGAGAAGCTAGGCGGGATCGCGAAGATCAGGAGAATAATGGCGGACACAACGCCGAAAACAACAGCACAGATGCTGCTGCCGGTGATATTGGTAAAGGCAATGGTTCCGGTCAAACAATGAGATCCAGCCGACAGCAGAAGCTCCAGACACAGCATAATATAGAGAATCTCGTATCCCCACCGTCCGAACATCTGACGACCAGCCTCAGGGTAGTTGGAGATGTGCGGGAACTTGACTTTGACCTGACCGATAATGTAACTCGTGTAGACTGCGATGAGACCGATTCCGACACAGCAGATAACACCAGCCACCATACCGAGGGTCGCGAACGTGGACGGGATCGACAAACTTCCAAGAGCAACAGCCTCGACGATCAGAACAATGGTCAGACGCTTCCATCCCAGCCGACTGAACTTCTCCATGCCACCGTGGTAAATCTGCTTCTCGCGATCATCCATATCGGCATCCATGGCCATGTCGTGGATCGGCTCAGGGCCGATGTAATCCTCAGCTTCCTTCTTGTTGGCGTGCATCGGAGCTTGTGTGCGGCGCAAAGGTCGGATGGCCGAATTGTAATGTCAAGCTGCGCGATGAAAGAGAGAAGGAAAAGGAACGAGCGAGGTGACCTTTGAAGCTTGGACGCGTCGAAAAATTAAATCAGAAGCTGAAACTGTAGATCGCAGATTTTAATCCGCGCAAGAGGCAAAGGGACCACAAAACGCAACCGGATATAGTCCGGCGTACCTTCCGTTGAGTTTCTCGGCGCCTTCCTAAAATGGATTTCCAGTGGGGTCGCGGCTGCTCTTCCGGAGTATGCTATTGGTCAGCCTTGCCAATCACGCCATTTCCCTGAGCGTATGTAAGCGATTTTAACGTTGGGAGCCACGTTTTTGCCTTTAACCGTGGATCCCGCTAAGGGGATGCAGAGCTTTTTTTTCTTCAGCTAGTGAAGCCCTGAAGAACTGGACCAATCATTCCTGACCCTGCAGCGGTTAACACGGCTACCTGCGGTCTTATTACGTTTAATCTCTGAATCTGACATTTCAATTTCTAAATCATGTTAACAATTTAATGAACTACTCCAGATAGCAAAAGCTTGGCTTGGATCTTTCCGTGGATAATCGGGAAACTCCAAGATTAGCGACTGCCAAGCGATGCTCTCCTCGGGTTAAAAGAGGCTCTACACGCGTTGCCGAGTGAGCTCGGAAAGAAGCGAGCCACCCGTCGGCTTTGTGGATCTCTGTCGGCCGACCTGTTTCCATGCAAGCCCGGGCCGACTTGCCGTTCATTTTACCGAGATTGAAAATTTCATAGCCATATTTGAACGTTAGACGACTGCCGAGATCGAGAACTGGTGTCAAAAAAACCCCAAGAGATCAATATACTTCAAATTCAGCGCTGGTTCGGGAGAACACTGCTCTGTTGTTTGTTCGTCCATGTGCAATTATCCAATCTTTGTAGGATCAAGCCGATCATGCATTTCGAGGAATGTCCGACGCGGCAACTTTGAGGTACATATGCACAGCCTTATGAAATTCTGAATTAATTCTACACCCAAATTTCAAACGACTTGGAAGTATTGAGAAGGAAGATTTTTACGCGTCACTCGCCCATGGCGAGGATATCCCTTTGATTAGACTATCCTAGCTAAGCTATCTGCAATATCCAATCTGGAAAAGCCCGCGAGATAATCGTACAATGCAGCCCAGGCTTTCAGGCCTGGGAACAGGTTACCTCAATGTAGAACGATGCGAAACATAAAGATAGCCAGGACGTGCAGATGGGGTAGCTTGTAGGATGAGTCCACTCGGACTTCTCCGAGGATATAGCCTCGAGTCTAATCGACAGGTGTGCAGCAGGGAAAAGCGAATGGGAAAAATAAACCAACCTTGTGCTTTAGAGCGCAGAAGCTCGGTAGTCAAATGCAACCATTGGTAAGTAAACTGAGATCGAACCCATACGATGGGTTGTGGGCAGATTATAGGATTGGGGGTCTGTATGATGTTTTGAATACAAGGATTTTCGTTGGTAATGTTGTTGAGTCGGTGGTGGCGGGGACCAGCCCCGTTGTGATAGTCTGTAGCTTGAGAAGTTTGAGTTGGCAGACCGTGTTCACGCAGGAGTAAGGCCACTTGAAATGTTGTTCGGTGTCACTTGGCGTTTGGCGGTACCTTGTGCCGGAACCTGGGGGAGAAACGATATTAGTTCTTCCTAACTGTCGGTACTCTGTGACTGTGGGGTTCTCTGGCGGGCCGTGAAGGGCCGAGTCCGGGTGTCGATATCTTGCCCAGTCAAATTCAGTCTTGTTCACTTATTGTCACTTACGTCCAACTCATCGATGCCTCGCTTCTGGCCATGACCGGCTCCGTCGGCCTTCTGTACATTCTTTCTCGGAACCTTCTTGGTTTTCCTGACTGGGCGGGTTTCGCCAGGCTGGAATAGATCATCTGGCAAATCGAAACTGTGAAACGGTGAGATGAGAAGCTCTTCGTTCTGGCGATAAAGCATTGACTTACCTGCGAACGTGGGTGACAGCTAGGTCCATTACTTCGGGCTGATACCCAGGCCATGATGTGCAAGTAGATTTGAATATCTGAGAGTCGGTCGAGATATCCAAGGACCGTGGGGCACCTGAACTGGTTAGAAGGATTTGACAGGACTCGGTGTATTTACATACCTTGTTCTAACGCGTTCAACTCAAGTCCAATGTAGTAGGTCGTAGTGTACATGGTCGGACTGCCATCGTTCTGGACTGGCTTCTCAGAAGGTTCCGGGACTGTCACATTCTCTGCGCCAGTCTGGGCAGCGGCTTGGTGGGCAGCATCCTTGGTCTCGTCGGTCGTCTCCGTGGCAGTCCCTTTAGCTTGGTACTTGGTGGATCCATTTTTCACTTCCTCCACCTCACTCTCATTCTGGGTCACATGAACTCGTTCAAACCCTTTCGGGAAAGGATGGGCTACGGCAATGACGGATTTACGGTCCAAAGCTCCCACGAGATGTCGCAGCTTTGATTCAACTAGACCCGACCAAATAGCCTCCGCCTCCTTTGTCCTGCTCGAGGCTGTGATACTCAGGTAATACTTGTAAGCATTGGTGAAAAAGGAGTGACGTGTGAATAAGTCCTTCCAGGAAAGTTGCTTCATGAAAATCTTATCCACCATGTCACCTCCTCGTTGGAGCTCTCGGAGAATAACAGCCTTTGTTGACATCGAAATATTGTGGGTTGCGCACATAGAAGGGTAGGCAGGAGTGATGATAGGCATGAGATGGAAACGGTCACCATGGTAAATCTGATCAAAGTGTTAAAGCCTATCGCGAGCGTTGAAGTGTACGACCATGACTTACCTTGGGGTTCCAAACCTTCATTGGCAGGGGACCATCCTCAATTGGCTTGAGCAAAACGGGCTGCGGCCATGCCCATTTGTTCATAATGCGAAAGAATTTGCCCACAATCACCGAACCGGTCGCTTGTGGGTACAATTGACAAACTCTAGCTACCAACATAGCCCAAGCAACACCTCCGGGGAAACCAACAATGTTGGCGTAGATCGCACGTCCTAGATACATATGCTGGTCAGTTCCGGCGCGTCAGCAGGTTGGGCGGATCACTCACGTTGAGCCCATAGTTTGATCGCGCGCAATGCCAGACGGAAAGTCTTTTGCTGTGGCACTAGCTCCAATATCTCATCTGTGACACGGGTTCCATTCAGAGATCGGACTTCTTTCTCATCCAGCCCACGCAAGTAGTCATTGTTCTTCAAGTCAAGGTTCATCGGTACTGAGGGGATCATGAGCCGAGCGAAGATCAAATCGATGCTGATACCAGCCAGCTCCAGCTTGATTATAGGCACAAACGCATCCGGAACAGGGGTCATCTTTTCGATCGTGCCCTCCGGGGCCATTCGCTCGAGGACAGGTGGGAATTCCGCGAAGAAATCTTCGGTGAGAACGTGTTGCGGGCCAACGACAAGGGTATCGATATCGGAACCTATGACACGCTTGTAAGAGATAGCTGGAGTATATTAGAGCAGAGCGACTCACCTGGACCGTAAACACCAAGACGGTAGCTTCCATATGCGAAGATCTTTCCACCAGCTGCTTCGACCGCGGCGGGTGACAACCCTTTCTTGCGACTGACAATCTTGACAAATTCCAAGGCGACACGTTGAAGTAATTGGAGCATTTGTTGTCTGTCAAATGAAGGTCAGTCTTGGCCAACAAACATTGAATTCGTCGATCGCTGATCAACATACCTCCGCTCTGTCTCGGAAGGAGGTTCAAAGTTGTCTTGTGCCTTCAGCTCCGCAATAAGGTCATCGTTGGCAACCAACTCCTCTTTTGTAGGGAGCACAGTTGAAATTGGGGGGTTACACCCCATTGGCGGGCAGGCTGAGCAGCCATTGTAGTGTGTATATGTGTGGAAGTGGTCCTCTGTCGCGATGGAGGATGGGGATTAGATAACGGGAGATCGAATCGACGTCACAGTCGTGTGCCGAGGGTACTTAGAGAAGAGTCTGAGTATTAGAAGCACTTAGATGCACTAAAGAAATGAAAAAAGAAAGAACACCCAACAGAAACGAGGAAGTGAGGAAAGAAATGAACGGCAGGGCAAAGCAGTTGAGGAAGGTCACAGCGCAAACGCTGCGACTCGGCGCTTCCAAGGCGCTTACTCAGTTCATCACATGATCCTATCCCATTTTGCCTACTTCTTGCCTATTCAGTGCGCGATATGTTGGATTTGCTCTCTTTCTCAGTTTCTTGTTCTTTCAATCTTCAACAGGCTACAAAAAGATGTGCATTCATTCGAAAAGTCACAAACTGATCAGTGAGACCTAAGTTGTGTGCTATTATAGCACATTCTTGACCATCTCCACTAAGCCTGCAATGCCACGCGGCTCATTCTCTGCAAATAACTGTTTAAGCTGCATGTCCAGCCATTCTACGTCCTCTTTACTATCACCAGGGCCGCCTGCCCAATCTGTATAACATTGTCAGCCTTGGATGGGAAATTAGTTAAATGGGCAATGGGTGGCGCTTACGTCCCCAAATAGAGGGGAAAACGTCCAGTTTTCCAACCCCTGGCGCCATGCATGCAACTTCATACTCCGAGTCCTCTGGTCTAACCATAATCCTTCTTTAGTATTTTGCGTTCTCCTGTGAGTCAGGCAGGTGGACTTACGGGAAGTAAAGATCGGTCTTGGATGGCAGAACAAGAGTCTTTGCCTTGATCGACGCCATTGCTTTCTCAAAGTCTCCATTGTATGGCTCTTGTTTGGAAACATCGCCATTCTGCCAGGTCTGGATCATGACTAGCAGATTTTCTGGGTCTATAATCATAAGTAAGCACCAGACAAAGGACTAAAACTGGACAGAGTAATATCGACCTTTCGAACAAGCCCACTTTTCCCAGAAATTCTGCATAAAGTCTTCGAGTCCTTTGAACCCTAGAACACTCTCATACAATTTCTGTCGATAAAAGGCTTGGCTAAATCCCCTGCATATGCATTTATTAGCTCGCTCTTAAGGGATGCCAGAAGGCTTTCATTTCATACCATCCAGCATAGACTCTGCCCATTGCCTTCAGACCGATCTCTCTCTCCTCCGCAGTCCAAGTCCGAAGCTCAAAAGGATCTTTTCGCACGCCAATCTCTCCAGCGCCCGCTGAAGGGATATTCTTCACTGCAAGAAGGGCGCTTTTTACGCCTTCAAGGAAGACTTGGTTGTGCAAAGAAGTCTTTGCCGATCCACAGAATGGGATTGCGAGATCCATAAAGTCGGGGTACTGAGTTGCCCACTGAAATGTTTGCCCAGCTCCCATGGACCACCCAACTACAGCGCGCAGGTGTGTAATCTCAAAGTATTTCGTAACCAGCTCATGCTGTGCCCGTACGTTATCATAAAACGAAACCTTCGGGAATGGGCCTGGCGTAGGCTGATTAGACGGCGATGAAGATTGCCCATTTCCAAAAAGGCCAGTGACGATGATGAAGAACTTCTCTGGGTTCAACGACTTGTCTTCTCCGATCAGCCAGAAATTATCGGAAAGTGCTAAAGTGGCATGATTGTCAGTGTAGCCGAGTTCTAAGAACGAACCAAAACTCACAGCCAGAGAACCAGCTTGGGTACAAGATAGCTGGTAAGTTTGGATCTCCAAATGTTTTGAACGCGATATGAGCATCAACGATCTTCTCCCCGCTTTGAAGCTCCCAGTCGCCAAGCTTGTAGGTCTCATAATCCTCCTGTGACATTATTGCTTTGCCTGTTGTTGGATGCAGAGATATTCCTTCAAATCACCTGGAATGACAGCTGCTCACAAGTCAGTATCTAATGTTTTTGGTGGTCTGTCAAGTCCTACCTTGTGCTCAGACCCTGTGGACTGATATAAACGTTGGAGATAAGAACCCCGCTCTCTCCGCACGAGATACGCTTTCAGTCGGAAACTCCGACAGTCATAGGAAAAACAACGGTTTCCCGCGGATATCTTATTATCCATATTGTTATTATATTTCGAGCAATCTCCATTCTTTTCTCTCATTCGCAATTTACCGCGACCTGGGAATCAGTGGACAAATCTTTTAAGGGGCAGGGGTCTCTACCGGAGGTACAACCTTACTTGATATGTAATTGCGCTTATAGCAAACCTTTAGAGAAACGGCATACTTATGCCGGGTGAGAAACATGGAAATAGATGGATTGACTTCAGGAACTGGCAGAATAAGTACCGCATTGTTTCGATCCTACTTTCGAAGGATGTTTATCAATATGTCTATGAAATTTCTCATGTAATGTATCTCCCAACCCTCTTTTTACAAATTCTCCAGCTCTAAGTATCGTGAAACCCATATCCAACCAATGCAGACTCCTCCTTAGATGGCAGGACGAGGAATCTCAAACGCTTCAGTAGTGCGACCATAAGTAATGCCACCCAGACGACTGATAGGCTTGAGAACCTTCAGGTCAATGGCAGATCGGTCTTCATCGATGGCATCCTCGCGAGCCCAGAACCGCACACCTTCAACGGTGATCATAGCACCAGTCTTCTTGCCAGGAGTTGCGCGGCTCTCGAACTCCTTAGTATCGACCAGTTTGGCCTCAATAGCAAAAATCGACTCCTTGACACGGGCGGGCTTGACAACGGCAGTAGGCGCAGGGGTCAGACCAGAAGTCTTCCACTCAGAAACACCGTACGGAGTGTTGATAGCAGTCGAGTTGGCCGCCTCAACAAAGTGCTCTGAGATGATATTGATCACACACTCCCCGGTCTCGTGCAGATTGCGCAGGGTATCCTTGGCACTGCCGAGACCACCAGCGAAGCCCACGATGAAAGTCGGCGGGTCGTGGCAGACAACCTGCGAGTAGCTGAACGGCGCCAGGTTTGTTGTTGACCCATCTGCAGATTGCGTGCTGACCAGAGCAATGGGACGAGGCACGATGCTGGAGATGAGGAGCTTGTAGTTCGACGCGACCGGGCGGCCCTCAGCGAAGGGATCGATTTCAACATGTTCCTTCTTCAGACTTTCACCACCATCATTCGCACCATCACCCTCCTTCCACGCCGGGTTTGGGGTCTTTGTGATGGTCACTTCGGTATCCTTGCGGAAGTCCGGCCGAGTAGCTTCGACCTGCTTGAAATCCGGTCTGGGTTTGTACATGGTGGATGTATTTGTGAGAGATCGACAACTAAGACGGGGCGCGGTGGGTGTAAGGCGATTCAATCTAACGAGACTAGGAATTGGAAGCTGTGCGTTAGCTAGAGTGATAGGAATGCCCCGCAGCACGTTATCCACGTCAGACGTCAGACGTCAGACGCATGATCCACAATATGTGTTTCTGGGTGTTTGCCACTGTGACGATAATAGTGGACACTTACAATGGTATTCTGGGGACGGGGATGTACCGAGTTGTTCGGAGGGTAGCTGTCAGTGCAGACATGAGGTTGTTTGAAGGGAATGTCTTATCGGGACGCATTTGTAATGACGAAATTCCCGCGGAGTTAAGCTTACTTCCACGCCGGAACCAAGCATAATGGTGTTAGGGGCACGCCCACTTTCCCGCTCCCATATATTATACCAAGCCCTCGTGGACATAACCCGTGGAAATACCGGTCCTTAGTAAAGGAACTATCTTGGTATCTTGGTCTTTTGCTCTTTCCCCTTCAGCCCCAGATCTTAACCACGATTGACGACTTTTCATCTGTGGGGATTTATTATGGTTGGTACAATATCACCCGCTGGATGTCCATGCTGATATGGAGTGTATGAGGGTCTACCTTGGCTGCGGATAGCGTATACCTTGGAAGAGACTCATCTATAGTCATGTTTAATGACAAGGAGGACCAAAGGCAGGAACACATTTTTGAAAAAAGAGCTGCATCAATAATTGATTGGACTTGGGAAATACCTTGAACCCTGGGATTACATTGACAACCTTGGAAGGCGGGAACTTCAACCTTCCAAAGTCGCGAATATATGTCTTTCCAAGGGTTGCGAGAACTCCCAATTTCCTTTAATGCAACAATCTTGCGATGGTGAAGGATGGAGGTTCAAGTATGATGTAGTTGGTTCTAGAGCCAACTGCAACTCACATCAGCCTGGCTCCGATTTCGGCTTGAAAGGTTGGAAAGAGTGTATTGATACGAGCAGCGAACCTAGCGGGAAGAAATAAGAAAGGAAAGAATAGGAAGCTCAAAGACAGACCCCTCATACTGGATGTCTCCACTATATTCCCCCGGCTGCTTTTAGCCAGGCAATTCTTCAAAGCCGCTAATGATTGAATCCTGTGACGTCAAGTCCAGGGTTGTCACAGGCAGGGTGATCTATATCAAGACGGTCGTTGCTGAATCAAACATCCAGGAATTTGCATGAACTTCAACCGATTAGTCTGAACTCAAGTAGATTTAAAAAGTCAAAAGTCTATTATAAATGGCGGTATACATTGTTTTGGTTCTGAGATGAATAAAAAATAAAAATAAAAATAAAAAGTCAAGTGATGCCACCTCAGAACTCAATTATGAGGGACAAAAAAGCAAATGCAATACATTTGCACACGAGGTGGACAACGTATGAGGAAACATTAGGCTAATTACAGTTCAATTGATTGATTTAGCCACTGTGTTGTCTTCCGAATTGACCTTGTCCCCTAAAGGTACAGATCGCATGCTTTAATATCTATTTCTACATAAAAACTTTTCTTTTTGCAATTGGCCATGATACCATAGTTCTACATCATCATGGCGACACAATATCTCGTTTATTTGTGAAATGATCTGCAATTGAGCCGAACCCCTCGTAAATTTCCGTTCGCCGAAAGACCGAGCTGTCTCGGAATTGCCACGGAGATGCGCCGATCGGAGGAAAAATCATCCCCTTGAAGATCACAGATAAGGTTATTCCTCTACAGTTTTCCACAGGGTTTCTAGGATACTAGGGAAGAAAATAAAGCTTTTCTTTTCTAGCTATGGTTCTCAGGGCCAGAAACCCTATACACCGGGTACTCGTCTCGAGGGCCATGTCCGTTGGGGGGAAGAATTGCCGGAGTGGAACGGTTCCCCGACTGGTCCGAGTGGACACTGTGAACCCCATCAAGCTCCATCTATGGAGCCCCGCGGAGTCTGGACTCCACGTTTATGTTTAGCCCCAGCTTTTCACACCGTAGTGGTGTAATACTGAGTACCCCTCGGTTCCGGCTCTGCAGGGCCGATCATCATACTACAGGACCAAGGGTTTGGTCATAGGCCCAATCCTTTGCCACGAGCTATTGGTTCCAGAGGATCTGGAAGTAGACCCACCATGTGCATCCCATGACCATCAGATCTTTGGATGTCATTATTTTGTCCCTGAGTTGTGGGCCGAGCTGTCGTGGCACTGTTTTCGGCGAAATCCTGTTGAATGGGGCGGTCAAGGGGAGATTGGAATTCCGTACGGTAATCATTCAGATCGTACATCGGATCGTACTTAATACATTATTTCGAAAGAGGGAGAAAGAAATCCAGAAAAAGCTTTATCGTGGACCAACTCCTCCCCTCCTTTCAACCCCATCTTTTCTTCCCCTCCACACTCTTCCCTAAACATATTTTGAAAGCTACCCCTTCCTATTGGGCTCTGGGGCCTCCTCCGTGCATCCCACCAACTCCCTTCCGCCTCATGACGTTTGCGCTTCCAGACTCCGTCCTGTCCTCTCACGATTGATCTTACCGCTTCATCTGCCCTATACTCGGCCACGCCCTGGATTAAGCTTCGCGCGTCGACACGATCGCAACGACGCCCCGGGGGCCAACATCATATGCCCAATGGTTCGTGATCACGGTTAAGCTCGTCGCTCGCCATGAGCCCCCCTTCTTCCAAATCGAAGAATGGCGGCAATACCTCCGGCCCTAGACAGATTCGTTTCGTCGCCACCGATGGTCAGCCACAGACCAAGCGCCGCCGAGTTAATGCCGCGTATGTGAAGCGCACCCCATATTGCGACTCTATAGAAACTACCAGAATGTTAACAGAACTTTTGTACTCCTAGATGTTTAACTTGTCGCCGCCGCAAGATCAGATGTTCGGGGGAACAGCCAGGTACGAGCTTGCTAGGCTAATTCCATAGCCCTTGCGGCACACCGCTTACATCGATCTAGTGTGCAAGACATGCACCGACTACAAACACACTTGCTTAGGGTACGGCGAATCGACTGCCCACCAGCGATCTCAATCCGATTCCTCGCGCATACCGCCCGCGCCTCCCCTCAGCTCGAACGACACAAATCAGCACAACGAACGAGCGGAGAGCTATTCACCTGAGCCCGCCCCAGCAGTCGCTCAAAAACCTTTGTCCAAACCGACACCCAATAAGTCCCCGGTGTTAAAGCAATCGGATTCTAAGGATGCATCATTATCTCGAGACACTTCCGCGCGCAAGGAATCGGACTCGCATGCCGCTGGCGATACCCCCGGAAGCAGTAAGTTGGAGATAATGCCATAAATACCGGCTCGAAGCTAGTCAGGGTTTAATAAATGGGACACTAAGCTTGTTTTACAATATAGGTCGGACATCTTTAAGCTCTGGCAACCGTACCCATGTCCCGTATTTTCGATATTTTGGACCTACCGCCATTGTGCCCGGCTTCAAACAAATGGTTTTATACCCCGCTAAGCCCCTTCGATTTTTATTCTAACTTGATATCAGGTTGTCCAAGTTCGAGGATCACGCAAAAGCAATCCGTCAATGTCATCAGGTTTGTTCCCACCCGTCCTGGCTGGGCAGTTGAATACGCCCGTACATTTGTTCTTCCACTGGTGCTGATTGCGACGATACAGAGTCCCTGTCCCCAATACGTAGTCCCAGGGCTTCATATACCCCTGGTGGCCCCTCTGCGGTAGACAATCGGGATAGTCGAGACGCCAATACGATCCCATTTTACGACCGAGATGACACCCCCCCAGTATCAAATTTAGTCTCTCACTTGTGCGATCTTTTTTCACGCACCTGGGCTGCAACTTTCCATTCCTGCAACGAGAACGGTTCCTGCAAGACCTTAGAGAAAAAAAGGTTGACACTATGCTGGTGGATGCTGTTTGCGCATTGGCTGCTAGGTTCTCACCTCACCCGCTACTTGGAGCTCCTCAGGCACCACCCATCGATCGTTCACAGCTGCCACCCGATATCAGAATGTGGGACCGGGGCCTCCCTTTTGCACATCGGGCAATGAGTGCTTTGGTTGACTCACTCTCCTGCCCAACACTTTCCGCTGTCCAATCCTGTCTATTACTGGCCTACGAGCAATTTGGATCCAATCACGATAGTGGCCTTTGGATGTATCTGGGCATTTCTATCAGGATGGCACAGGACCTTGGTTTGCAAAAGCATCAAGGTTTGAAGCATAACTACGGACGGAAAGGTGTGACGCCGAGCGAAGTGATGACTGGGCAGGCTGGCAAGTTACGAGAAGATCAGTATGACGATCTCGACGTATACCAGAGTCCTAAAACGCTACCGCCCGCTTTTGGAACTGAACGCGCCCGTGAAAAGGAACGAGTGGATACTTTCTGGAGCATATTTTTCCTTGATCGGGTCATCTCCTCTGGGACTGGTCGGCCAGTTACCCTACGGGACGAGGATATCGAGCTTTGTTTTCCTCTTCAATCTGAATCTCAGTTACCGAATGGCTGGCCTGCACCGTTTCCGCCACTAATCCGGGTCATCCATCTCTATGGGAGAGTGACGGATCTTATTAACGGTATACAAGATGTCAACCACGTTACTTCTGACACGCTGAAGAGGCTGGCGAGTATGGAAAGTGATTTGACAGGTATGAGCTACTCCGTCTATGACTCAACCCAGGCATGCTCTAACATATTCTCTCAATATTTAGGCATTTATCAGCGGCTTTCTCCGAAATTGCATTTTAACGCAGCGAATTTCCAGGCATATGTCAAAGCGAAGGAGGGAACTAACTTCATTCTGCTTCATTTTGTCCGTATATCTATCTCTGATCATTGACACAGAACTAACATCTGACAGTGGTTCCACACATTAATTGTCCTGCTGCACCAACCTACTCTTTTGAATTCATTCGGCGGATCAATACAGCATCTCTACCCGAACAGCCGCGAACTTTCAATGTCCTCAGCGAAGACAATCGCTGATATTCTATCATTCTCTGAACTGGTAGATGGAAAGAGCTTCATTGGGAACCCTTTCACTAGCCAGCCAATGTATATTGCGGCTTGTGCCTTCTTAATGGAGAGCGCATACTATACGTCGCCTTCATCGAGGGGAACATCACCTCTTCCGCAGCCATTGTTGAACAATCAATCTAGTGGATTTGTGATGCCGGCAATAGAGCCATCTCATGGCTCAGAACGAAACTCAACTGCAAAGCACATTTTGCTTGCCTCCGCCGCCAAAGAGAATTATCAGCGCTGCTATAAGGCTTTGAAGGCACTGAACTCGTATTGGGAAGGCACTGGATACATCTTGACGGTGTTAGATCAGAAGGCTAAGGGTATTGTGAATCCTCTTCTGTATAACACAGAGGATGTGGAGAACAGCACAGGTGAACCACCATTTGGCGCTGCTAGTTGGCGCCCGACAGATGTACCTCAAGTGTCCGAGAGACCTCCAGGAGTGGCCGATATTCCGACCGATGGGAGGTGGTCACCAAAATTTGATCCTAGTCAAGGTAAGCCTTGGAACTCAATTAAAGTTGGAATTTTGACTCACAATGTTTCCCATATAGCCATTGGATGGGCTCTCACTGGGGCAACCAACTCTTCCCAACCTAATCTGAGTTTACTATACCAGATGCCCACAACAGAGGCTGAGACTCGTGCCGCAAAGCCCGCCTATTCGTCACAATATAGTCACAGCTTTCCACCATTGCCCGTTGTCACAAATGCTGGGGCAAGTTCGAGTTCCTCTTTTGCGCATCCTCTTACCCCATCGATCTCTCATGGTGAAAGCCAGGCGTCTTCCCTCACCACCGCAAACAATAAATACCCTCAGGTACCTTCCCATACGATCGGCACCGAATCACCATACTACATGGGCATAAACTCCCCTTATCCCGAGTCAAGACCCGGTGCCTCAGGCCACTCAAGCTACAACCCAGCCTTTTCGTCCAATCAGATGGATGGCCAGGCCTCCGCATATGGTTACCCAGTCTCCTCTGGGGCTACAGATCATAATGGCAGCCATGCCCACATGGGACCTAGAAATAGCCTCCCCCCTTCATTGCACGCCCACAACCCAGGCATGATGATTGGAAGCCACGATGTCGATATGAACACCCTACATGATCAGGAGTCATTTCCATTCTCCAATAGTGAGATCGTGCCATGGCTAGAATATCTTCCGCAAGATGTCCTCAGCTTCTTTGGTGACAATCATAATTATCCTCTCATGAGCCCAGACGACAGTACTCGACCCCCGCAGTAATGTTTGAATATCCTCACGTGTACATGTATCTCCTTTTCAAGTCAGATTTGCATTCCCCTTGTTTGTATTGAGCGAGCTTTGTGTCCATTTGGTTATATTTTTCGATTGGCTGATATAACCGGCGTTTGGCGGTAGTATATCCTTGAGCAGTTCATAGATCGCCTGTTGATTTTTTGGGGGTTTTTACCTGGGGTTCTCGTCTATGGAGCAGCGCGACACATATCCCAAACTTGGTTGGGACAAAAGATGCATACGACAAATTTTACGAATCTCTTTACCAAAATTTTTGAAATTTTTTTTTTACAGAATACGATCGCTGTGCTAGATAAATTAAGTAGTGGAGTCGCGGAGCCGTGGAGCCTAATGAAGCCCAACGACTATATGGGTTGCCCCGGGAGACGGAGCGGTGAGCCAACTGTCAACACATCGTCACCGCATGGGACCATTAGATACATATCGGCGTACCACGCCAATCTATTATATCCTCCTCTCTCTATACATGAATCCCTATGGCGAGACTTAGGGATGAAAGCCATTTCTTTCCAGGAGTGCACTCCTCCAACGAAATTCTAAGCCCCCAGCCCTGTGCCCCTCCCGGCAAGGAGCATCTACTGGCCACATTCGAGACGTCCCACGTTCCACACAGCGATAACGGATCAGCAACAGATGGTAGCCGAATTTCAAGCCAAGACTATGAATATAATTCATCCAGCTCCTCGAACCGCCTCTCTACAAGCGACATATTCGGCCGTGAAATAGATGACGAACTCGAACACATGAAATCGCGTACATCGAGCCGCTCATCCATTTCCTCCATGCCAGCCTCCGTTCTTATACATCCTATCAACGATATGAAATCAATGCCGCCAATGAATCTACACGAGAAAATGGTCGGCTACACAATCGAAGAATCAGAAGCTAGCTTTGGCGACTTCGACGACCCGCCTAGATCAATGCGGACGATTCGACCTCGAGAAGCCGCGTTTCGGAAACCGAGCTCCGTACGCGCTATACAGATGCATACGGAGGACGAGGGGGAGGAAGACGAATACTTGACTCCGCCAAGACGTCGGGCGGGAATGCGTTCCCCCGGATCTTCGCCTGTGAAACGGTCGCCATATTACTCGCCAAATACTACGACCAATAAACCTAAGCCAAAGAAGGATTACCCTCTTGTCTTGCTACATTGCAATTTGCTTGCCCCCTCCATCCCAGTTCCTGGTGCGTCAGAGCCGCAGAACCAAGAGATCGTAGAGGAGGTTCTGCCACCTCAATACTGGAAACGCTGGCGCCGATTACAAGAGAAAGTCGGATCCGGTGTCCTCCGTGACAGGGGTGTCTTAATCTCTCACCCAGAAGATTTGTATGACATGCTCGAAGAGCGATTGTTGGAAAGTCTGGAACTGCAATACGCACGGGTCCACCAAGGTCATTTCCTCGGTCATGAGGAAAGCAATCCCGAATCTGAGGGTGAGACTTCTGATCAGAGCGAGAGCGAGACGGATGGTGAGCAAGGCGAGGAGTGTCCAGACTGCGGTGGGCGTGTTCTTCACCAGACTGATACCAACCGCAAATGGGAGATCCGGGTGTTTGCAGCCAATGGACTAATGCGCGCTGGTGCTTGGGCGGCTGCGTGGAAAGAGATGGAGAAGGTTGATGTGGAGGTTGGGCTCTGGCTGCCGTCAAACGTGCGCAGGGCATTAGAGAAACGGATCTTGGAGGAGCGCGCGTCTGCGCCGAAAGAAGAGCCTCAGGGTATGCTAGCTATATGTGAGGCGGGGACCCAGGACATGGATCTTCGGCGCCTTTCTGTTCAAGGTCAAATCAGGTCTTTTAGTGAGGCTGGGTCCATTCAACCGTCCGCTCCTCCAGAACCTGCTCCAGTGCCGGCACCAGAGATCAAATACAAAGAACCGGAGCACCAGATTGCCCTCGGGACGTTGCTCATCAACTACATTAGGGTGTTGGCTAGTGATAAGCGGAATATAGCGCTGGTGATCATGTCTATCGCTGTCGCATTTCTTGCTTTTGGAACTGGCCCGCAGCAGCTACAACAGATGCCCGCTATGCAATTCTTCTTCCAAAATGGGGAGAGATTGCCCTTCCCTGCCAGTATGGAAGTGCCCTCGCCAAGCCTGTCCGTTGTCTCTGCGAGTATCGAGTCTTTGAGTATTGCCTCTTCTGTCATGGCTTCTCCAGCCATTGCCTTTGAGACACCTGTGCAGCTGGAAAGTATTCCGACAAGTAATGCAATGGGGTCTGTGCAAGCTTCGAGCCCGGCTGAGCCTTCTGCTATTGAGGATGAGCCTCAACCCACAGAAACGATGGACTCCTCTATTGAAGAGCTTGAGGTTGACGCTACTAATGAATTCTCCTCTTCCACCGAGGCACCAAGCGAGACGCAGGTTTCTAACGCCATCGAAGAACCTGAAGTCGAGCCATTGGACGAAGCTGACTCATTGGAGGTATCTGAACATGAAGATCCTCTTCCGACCGATGCGCCAGAAGCCGACTCATTGGAGGAAGCCAAAGTCGACGCATTGGGGAATTCCGAAGATGACGTTCCCCTTGTCACCGATGCACTCGAACAGCCAGTTTTGGCGTCTATTGTTCCAGAAGAACTCACCAAGGACGCCACAGAGACAGAGCTCCCTGAGACTGCCGAAAACGCACAGAATGCATCATTGGAAGAATCTCAGGATGAGGATATTCTTTCTACCGATGCTGCTGGGCAGCTCGTTGAGGACTTCATTCCCTCAGAGGTCATGCAAGATGAGGAAGCGATAACGACCGAAGAGCAAACTGCTGCTCTGCTGGAGTGATCAAATTATGGAAAGGAGCTGGGAATTATTGCATTTACGACTGGAATGACACGAGCCGGAACATTTGGAACTTGCGTTGGTTTGCTATATATACTGAACATTTTGGGTGTTTTTCGATGTTATTTAGCCAGCTAGTCTCTCTTTTATGTCAATTTGATGATAATGTTGCTAGGAAAGACCCGAGTACGTCCCATGTATTCACTATGGATAGAGTTTGAAGTAGTGCTGTAGTTGACGGGTGCATTCAAATGTAAGTGAACAATCAGCTCTGCCCAGGTGGCCGATTCTTCCTAAGAAGGTCATTTATTTATGGAAGCTTTAACATATTTGTTCAAGTCAATATGTGTCATATTTGCCAATTTACCGAATTGCACTGCTAATGTTTAAAACTACCGAAAATCCCATATTTCCAATTTATCTCCTCCCTATTTCCAAAAATATGTGCAATCTAGAAACCCGAGTCATGCAAATAAGCAGCCGGAACAGTCGGCCAAGCATCAACCCCATCCAATATCGCCAACGCCATCCCCCCACTCTGATGAACCTGAATATGACAATGCAGCAAAAATGCTCCAGGGTTCACAACCTGATACCGCAGCACCATCCACGTCGGAATTATATTAAGGGGCGTGCCCGACGTATCTCTGATGGGCGGATTGACCAGATTGAACGAACTCGGAGTCTCAAGGATAGCCTCGGCAACAGTATCCCACGTAAACGTGCCATTCCCCTGTCCGATCACAAAATGTTTATTGGAGTGTTTATGAATCGGATGAGAAGGTTGAAGCGGCGTTCCAACTTGAATAATGAGATCAACCCATGTCCCGTTCTTCGTTCTAATTATCAGATCACTCGGTATAGCGGTCTGGTTAAAGAGGAGAGGCTGTGACTCTTCCAGTTCAAGATTAAAGCTTGAGTTCCCCAACGTCCATAGGTAAGACGCGTTGTAGTGGTCGATGTACAGTTTAAAGGTCTCATCTGCTGTAGAAGCGGGCGCGATAACTGGGAACGGGACTATAGTGGAATCGTCCATGAAAACTGTGTCTGCAGTGGCATTCAAACCTGACACTGTGACCCATGGGTTGGAGGGTCGCTTGAGTTCGGATTTACCCTCATACTGCATCGTGGCTGTTGTGTTGATAGTCTGTTGTGCGGTGCCGCTGACCATGCGGATTGTATACTCGCCCGGGGTCTTGTTCAGGGGTATAAGCACTGAGTAGCGGGTTGCAGAAGGGAGATTAATGGCGTTTACAGTGACGGGCTGGATATAGCGGCCGTCCACGGCATAGACGTACATGTCATGTTCGTCCACGGAGAATATCAAATCTAAGATTCCAGCTGCGCTGGTCAAGTCCCAGCTGACGTATTGGTCGTTTGCCTTGACGGTGAAGACTTCGTGGTGACTTTGAGATGGTGTGCATCCATAGAACATAGTCGGCAGTAGCTTACTCAAATCATGAGTGTAATTGCCTTGTGTGGGGACATTATCTGGTGGAAAGCATCTAGCAGACGGTCAGTGGAAGATTGATTATTACGTCTAAGTGGCTCTTACCCAATGTCTGTCAGTGATTGGTTACCTAAAACATATCTCTGGTTGGCAGTAGTGAGAGCGTCGAGTTCTGCAGCCGTGAAGCAATTCACGGAGCCTTTTCCGTTGATCAGAAGTGCATTCGCACAATATGAATCAACACCGGACGCTTCCTCCGCCGCCCAAATTTGTTCCGAGGCTAAAAGACGCCAATCCGACAGCAGTACTGGCGAGGTATCTTCTTCTGCAACCAGCATAGCCTGGAGCTTAGAAGAATCATTGGTAATCAAGCTGAAGGGTCTTTCTTCAGAGTTCGACGGTTTAATATAAATAGGCCCGTAAAGGCCATCTTCAAGCTGGCCTCGATGATGTGCGTGATAAAAATATGCACCGTACTGATGTGCGGTCCATCGATAGCGAAAGGAATCACCTTCGTCTATGGGGCGTTGGCTCAAACCAGGAACACCATCTGACCAAGGCGTGTTTCGCTGTTCAATGCCTAATGCCTACTCAGTGTTTCGGCTTCATTTTGGTACATGGATGAACCTACCATGAAAGTGCACAGTAACGTTAAAGGGACAGTCGTTTTGGACGTCGAATATAACTTCATCACCTTGCACTAGATCCAATGGCGGTCCAGGGTATTGGTCATTGACCAGGATCACATCTCTGGTGAAGCCCGCAACCTCTCTCTTAGCCCATGTGAGACAAATTGAAAAATAAACGAGCTCAGCCGAAGCCAATTGAAAGAAAAGCAGGGTTAAGAACACCCAAGCACTAACTGAAGACTTCATGAAGACCGTTAAGACTGCAAATTGGGATATAGATTGATCTCAATGTACCACAACATGTATGCGGACATGGTCTTGGTTATATACACGGCTTTGGTCATATAGAAGGGTCTCAAGAAGACAGACCATCTTAATCTGGCCTGAGATTCTCAAGGTTCACCCTTATGCGGGAAAACCGTCATAGTTCTTAGTAAAAACCCACACTGCAGCTGATTTTGTGTGCAGTATCCGATCCAAGCTGAAAGGATGAATAGGTTCCCCGAAACGAATCGGTGACCATGGGACCTTGCAGACTTGTCAGCAGGACCGGACAGGAGGCGGAGTTCGTCCGGTCAATCGAAAGTACTCATTATAGGACCGGGGTCAGGGGTACTAAGGTGGAGGCGCCACCAATCATAGGAAGCGATATTTCCCCAGTGTCGGGGTGAAGAGCGCATCTGCCCCGTTAGCCCTGGATCTGGAAAAAACGTAGATCTAAGATGAATGCCACCAATCTAGATCTCGGGTGGAAGTCAGCCCGAATGATAATGTGAAGGTGCTAGAAATTGCCATGCAAGGTGATGAAGTCAAAGCGCTGCTAATAACTCTTGTTCATCCAGGCAGGTGATAGACCAAATGCCTTCGTGGGACGAATCAGGTACGCCGTTTATGGGGGTACCTGATCCCTGGATACGAGTGAGACATCCTGTCTCGGCGTTCTGCATGTTAAACAACAGCCAACCAAGGTGGTGGGTCGTAAACAAAGAGATAAAAGCTGACCATTGACGAGGGCCGCGTAGTATGAGTCAATCAATCAGCTTCCGACGTAATTCCGGAATATTAATCGGGGGACCCGCTGTTTTAGTGCAGAGAAAGGCCCCACGCGTACGAAAAGTGGGTCCGCATACTCCATAACATGCATTGTGAGCACCAAAGAAACAATAATGACGCATCGGGGTGTGAACAAGGACGCGTGGTGGTGGCTTGATTGTAAATCGAGCTTCCTCCACGAGGATGAGGCGTGACACACCAATACTAAGAAACGCCATGTAATATAAATATGTATTCATTCTGTAGTAAAAAACCGATCTTTAATACTGTTATAGTAATGCTCGCAAAATGCAAAGAGATCATTAGACTTTTCCTTCTCAAGGCCGACTTGAAGAAATATCATCGCAAAAACATCTATCAAAATCCGACATTATCGTAAAATGCAGACCGGCCCTGCTGGGCATTCTCTGATGCAGGAGGTCCGTCCTCTTTGGAATGAAGGATGGCAATGGGATCTGAGATCCGTTGGCTGGGATCCACCCATTTCTCTTTTCCCTTGCCTTCATAAGCAGAGGGATCATCCAAAGGCAGGCCCTCCAGCTCAGGCGGCGTGAGTTCACTGTAGCTGTCGTTCAATCGTTGTAGGAACTCTGGATCGAAACCCATCTGGACCAAAGGGTCAGCAGGCCCCTCTGCAGGAGCAGAAGAGGCCGAAGCGTTGCCTGGAAGGCTACTACCCCAATCAGATGAAAATGCGGGAACACCGGCTGATATCATCCCTGCACTACCGACATAGCTGCCTGAAAGACTCCCTGTACCGGTAGGACCGGCAGAAGAGAAACCAGTTCCCGGGTATGCCGGACTCCGGAGACCAGGACTGGATACTGCTGGGCTGGGAAGGGCACCAGGACATACAGCCCTCGCTAGAATATTGGTCTCTGGTGGGGGATTGCGCAGGCCCCCATCAACGGCGAAGGGAGGTTGCAACCCAAGATCTGAGTATTGGATTCTGTCGTTGTTCACAACTGATTGGAGTCCAGTATCGCGCTTTAAGATACCTAGCCAGACAGGGTTGTCGGCACAGGTTTGGTTCCAAGGATCATCGCAGCCGTAAATGACTCGGCGGGCTTCAGCTTGTATCATCTGATCGGTAGGAATCAATCCGTCCGCGGTTTGATGACGAATGTACGCAGTGAGCTCGTGTGAAAGACGGTCATAGCAATTGGCATCATTAGGTACACTCAGCCTCGGGGTGGTCCCATCCCCTTGTGCTTGAACGGTGGTCCAAGGATTTGGTGAACGCCATTCATCGTCGATCATGTACGGTGGAATGGCATTTTCGACGCGCTCGAGGATATAGGGCTCGAAGCCCCAGTCCCCATGCCATTGGGACATGTTGGCCCCATTTTTGAAGTGGCCAGCGAGGTGGTCCACGCGATCTTTCCAAGTGTGCAACACTGATGCACAAAATCCACAGCGGGACTTGATATTGGTGATGCTACTCTGCCAGATCTCCATACAGGGTTGAAACTTGGCATTGTGCATGAGACGAAGGTGTTGATTGAGATGATCCTTCCGATAGAAAGTTCGTTCCTGGATGGACTTTTCTTGACAATTGAGATAGTTATGAGTTTCTAAGTGGTCCTTGTCAGGGTTGATGGCAAAGCAGAAGACGCATCGAAGTGTGCCATTCTCTTCAGTGACACCACCATGAGGAGAACATGTCCACTTGTCTAAGATCAAATGCATGGATTTTTCGTGACGTTGCCAATCGTACTTGGCAGCGAATGAATCAGTACAGAAAGTGCACTGGAAGGGACGAACAGCTCGAGCCTTCTGATGATTGAAAGTATTGACAGGCACCGATGCCTTACGGCGACGGCGGCGTTCTTTGCGATCCATTGATCCAAATGAAAGAGAAGATCGATGGGAGAATGCGGAAGCAAAGGAAAGGTCAGACAGGGATGAGTGACTAGAATCCAAACTACTTCCCGAGGCGGTATATCTTTTGTGGTCTGAGCTTGCGTGACTTGACTCATTGGTAGATCCAGGGCGATGGGCCCTCACGTGACCTGACTGGGATGGACGATGTTGACGGGACGGATCAAACGGCGGGTTTGCTAAGGCACGCGCAATATCACCGATAGTGGCAGGTTCGTTCTCGGGGGGCGAGTGTTTCCAACGTTCAATGGGAGTCATGAGCGATAAGTCTGTTGAATCTTGGCCAGGGATGTTGACGGCGCCTGGAGCAGATGATCCAGAGCCACTAGCTGGGCGAACCTTGCCACGTCGTCGAGCATTCGCGAGCCAATTGGCGATCTGGGTTCTTGTAAGGCCGGTGTTGTTCTTCAATTCATCTTTCTCGGTCTCGGTAGGATAAGGGTTATTGTTGTTGTCTCGCAGCCAACCCTTGAGAACATTGAGGGCATTGCGCGAGAATCTAGTAGTGCTGCTCTTGCGGGAACGCGGCTCTGAATCATCCCCAAAGCCACCGTATGACACAGATTTGAGTGCTCGTTTTCCAGTCAGGCCGCCTGTTGGGATGTAGGCATTCTCTGACACTGGATGTAATGTTTGAAGGAACTTGCCAGGAACTTTGGCATGGGTGAAACTGCATTCACGATAGAGGGAGATACAGCAGGTACAGCCATTTTGCATCACTCCACGCTTGGCAACAAAACAATCGAGGCCCATTCGTCGGCAAAAGTCACAGGGCTGTTCGGCGCGGAACATGGGGTAGACTCCGGTGTCCTGATCGGGACCAACGCCATCAGGTAAGTCTTGTTCGGCGGTCTCCGGGACAGGCGGGTCTTGGATAAACTCCAGTGATTCATCTTGGAGTAAAGAGTTGAAATTGACGGCCCGTTCCTCGGCGTCATCAAATTCAAGATCAACCGAAGCAATATCATCGCTCGGATGGTTGGATTCGTGAGCCGATGAGGCACCTTCAAAGTCGAAGTACTCCATGGCTTTACTAGAGACCCGGTCGTCTCGACCGTATATATTTCTTCAAGCAAATAATTTCTTGGGGTAAGAATACGTGGAAGGTTGAGAAAAGTCGGTCTGGGAAGGGTATCCCTGGTCTGGGGTAGAGCTGACTTGGTGATTAATCAAGCCCCGGGAGTGGAGTTGTATGAACCTTAGACCCAGCGTTGAATCGGGCCCTGGAAGTCCTCGCTAGAGGGCTCGTGCCATGCCGATAAGCAATCGGTTCAAAGTCGACTGTCAGTGGTTGCTTCGGCCGAGGCAGGCCTTTTTTAGCCGCTTAGAAAAAGTAAGGATCGGGCAAGCCGAGCAAATGAGAGAAGCTAGAAGAATCAAACGTCATCCATTTAACATGCGGGATAGACGAGACCGGAGTAAGAGAGAAGGTCCGCGAGTGATCAGGAAGACGCATCTGCACGCCCTTCGCATGTCAACGCCAAGCCTATCTGGGTTAGCGTGATCCAAAGTGGGGCACAAGGGCGTTCCCAATTAGGCAAGAATGATTCATATCCCCCGCGATATCGGAGGCTTATGGGGCTTTGTCTTCACGAATCAACTTCTAGATCAAATCAAGTGCATTATACGACTCCAAAGTTTTCCATATTGTTCTTTAAATTGAGTCCTAAATCAGAGATTCCAGACACTTATCGTGCCGTGATACATGTTTAACCTACAGGATCAGCAATCTCAACATAGAACAAGATGATCATTTTAGCGATTGCTCATGTGACATTGAGTACCCCGTATAGATCCATTGAAATTAGATTCTCTATAATGAAACGAGCCCAAGATACTATGTAGTTGATGACATGATATACTTAGATGCCAAGACTCGAAAAATTTTCACCGTTTGGTGCAGAATTTTCTTGATCCGATCCGACTTCAACCGGAACTCGGCTGGGTAAGAATGAAAGACCCGTGGGTTATCAAATAAGAACGCACATCCGAAGGGGGCTACCGGCCACATTGACCTTGGCCAGTATGGCATTATAAGAAGGTTCAAACGTTACCCTCCTCTCGGCATTAAAGATTGCTCCGAGCCATTTTCCAAATTATCTCAATAAAGCCGTGGTTCACATTTCAGATCCGTCCTATCGGATGTATTCCATTTGGTACTTTTCTCGAAGTCAATCACCCCTCAATCAACCATAATTTAAAGCCTGGCCTGAGATCATGGAAGGTCTTCAGGGGTTTAGATGGAACCTCAGAGAACTTATTCTCAGCCCTAGGATACACTACGCGCTACTTACTCAATGAATCGATGGTCAATCCACTTTGAAAGTATTTTCTCTTGTCTTTCGCTCATAACTAGAATCAGGTAATTGCCTCGCAGAATTCCAAGCCTATCAGTTCTCGCATGGTCTATTTCCTAATGAGGCAAGTGGATACTTGGCCGGGGGGTGTTATGGTGTAAATCATGGACACGTCAGTTGTTGAACTTTTTGTTAATGAACGAATCGTCTCTTACTGCTACTGATTTACGAAGGTGGGTGCGAGACTTGCGAATAAACTGATGCACATGTGGTGTCAGAATACCGTCATTCAAAAAACATAACTGCCTAAATAAGTATCGAGTATGGTCCTTAAAGAGAAACATGGGCTGCATGCTTGTCTCCATTTCTCTGTCGCCAGATTTCCACCTCACCACCTCCACGGATCACACCAACTCTCATAGTGGAAAGAAGGTTATGCGCCGCATTAGAATGGCTGTACACTCCGCCATTGAACAAAGCCGTTGCGTCCTTTCCAACCGCCGAACTGATCAGGATCTTGCCGCCGGGGTGTTCGTTGACAAAGCCTGTCACGTCGTGGATAACACCAGCAATGACAGTGAGAGATTTTCCGTTCTGTGTAGCAACCAAGAAATCATCCCAGGAGACCACGGGCAGCTGTTCGAGAGGAATGCCCCAGTCTAATTTGGCTCGCTTTTGGTCGACTTTCTTCTGCAGTTGTTGCACACGACCCTTTTCAATCTCATTTGCACGGAACTGTTTGAGATTGGAAGCGAGGCCAAGTCGCTTCCACATCCAGATTGACCACTTAGTTGGATCATATTGCCACCATTCAATAGCGTTACGGTAGTCCGAGGGAAACTACACCAGTCAGCAATGGAAATTGTTGTGCTCATTGAGGTTTATTCCTTACCTCATGGTGGAAATTATGATATCCTTCGCCCAGAGTGACCAGTGCAGTAAAAACGTGATCGCGCGGCGAGTTTCGGTCATCAAATGGCTAAATGGTTGTGAGCAAGGTGACAAATGACGAGCGGCGAGCAACAACTAACCTGTTCACCCAGCCAATGAGCCAAGGAATTGACACAGAATGTCGCCTGTTGAACAAATAGGAATCTCAAGATGCCAGCATATACCAGACCGCCCTTCCAATCGCCCCAGCCAAGCCCAGCCACAGTCATAGGGAACAACACCCCGAAAGCGAGTATGAACATGCCATAGTGCTTATGCTGCCACACCACGATCGGGTCCTGGTTCAAATCTGAGATATCTGTCCGGCCACGGTCCTTGGGGTTCTGCTTCATCACCATCCACATGAAATGGGAGTACCAAACTCCCTTCCGAACGCTATATGGGTCCTTAACGGTATCAGTCCATCTGTGGTGTGCGCGATGCTTGCTGCTCCACCAACGGATAGAGCCCTGGACAGCACCACTACCCACACAGGCAAGAAATATCCTCAAAGGCAGGGTTCTAAAATGAAGAATCATTTAGCCGTTAACGTTCTATTCCCGAAGTATTTGCTGATCACAATGGAGAAAGCTTACGCTTCATATGAACGGTGAGCCCAAAGACGATGATAACCAGCGGTGATTCCAAGAGCCGTCCAGAAATAATACAAAATGGCCCAGGCAGCTGTGGCAAGGCGCAACTCTGTATAAAAGGCAGCGACGCAGCCAAAAAGTGGTACGATGAGGATCAGAGTTGTATTGACCCAATTGACATGAAGGTACCAGTTGCTGAAGGTAAGAGGTTGCTCAGTGATATGTGGCCTTTGAGAATCAGGCTTCATACTGGCAGTGTTTTGCTTGGGTTTTGCTCTTCAATCTCGTTGTTGGGTAACAGGGTTTGCTAATATGTCTAGGCAAGGCTTCAGGAAGAGCGAAGTATGACAAGGGATTATCTGAGGAAAGTAGAAAAAGCTTTTCACTATTGTAATATTCTCAGCATATATCCTATGATATTAGTTCTAGAATATGCTCTGATCCTCGGTCGCATGTGCAATGACACGTTGTGCGGTCTCAATACCTTATGATGAGAATTGTTGAATGGTTGGGGGTAAGCTCTGGAGGATGCCGACCCATGTTTCGCCCAACCCTTCCAATGTACAAATGTTGGCTCCGGCTCTAGGACTGTTTGCTTTTTCAACACTCTAATACATCAGAAATGACTCAATGTGTAAATGTTGATTGGAACTATTTGTCAACATTGCAGGTTATTGATCAAGGGCCATTAAGGGTTTTCCAACTCCAGCCCCTGGGCCCCCAACTATGAAATGGTGGGACTATCGAAGGCCCGTACACAAGGTTGAAACCAACGCCGCACCTAAGATTAGCGAAACATAACTGGAAATGTCGAGTAAAGTGACTGTGAAAAACATTCGGAGCTCATTTCCAACCCTGATTTTCAAATTTATGACGTCGGCATGAAGCTTTGCGATAAGGGATGAAGAATATTTCACATTTCCTTTTCTTCGAGTGAAATGGGTCTCTTTCCTGCATTAACCTAATCAGCTACTTTCTATGTTTTATCTCTAACATTCAGATGTTCAATTGGGCTTGGTATGGACCGGGCGTTGCTAATCGACGTAGACGGGAAGTCGTTCAGGATTCACGAACGCGGGTAATACCTCCAAGGCTACATGTAAATGTGGATGAGCTTGAAGCGTTATGAGGTGTTTTACGTTTATCTAATGTCGGCATGACCTGCTATGTACACTTTCCATGAATTGTAGAATACTCTCTTCCAAGCTTCAGGTTTTACCATTTGTTTATCGGTTCAGTAGCTACGGAAGTCAAATGCTGCCTGTGAACCACCACACCACACCTTTGTCCATGACCCAGAATAAGCTATTTTGAAGCCGGAAAGAACAAGGTTGAATTGACCAACAAACTCAATACTTAATATTCAAAGATCAAGTGGGGCCTGATCTAGAAGCCGCACAGACCGCTCTTATCAGCATATCAGACGCGAGGACGCTAGCATGTGAAATCGGCGCATGCACAAAATGGCGAATTCTGCATGGTGCAGGTGCGCCGTTATCTGTCAAATTGCCCCAGCGAAAGAAAAGTCCCTTCTTTCATAATACCAATCCTACATTGAAACCGCCTCCACGCTCGGCACTCGATAAACTGGCCTTGTCCAAGCGCCCATGGAATACACACGGTTCTCGATTCTATCGCCCATCACAGCCACTATTCGGCGTCGGCTCCCTAGGCTCTATTCGTCTCACAGGGCTGACGCCGAAAACCAATCGAGCGGGGATCTGCAGCACGGACTGGTATCTTTTTCCGAGCCACAGCTGTCTTTCCATGGCCAGTCGCCCGAACTAGCTCTTTTGGAGGCGCAAAGACCGTCGACCGGTAGTGATAGTCTAGATTCTTTCGCGTCTAGATCTGGGGGTCGGATACCCCTCCATCTGAGGAGAGCGTATCACCTGTCAAGTATGAGACAGGGTCCGGCTTGCGGTGGAATAGGGTGGTTCCTGGTGAGGTTATGATCAAGCCATGGCAAACCTTCGGTTGAAAGTTACTTATGCCTCTTAGCGTACAACCTCCTGCGTAATGCAGGGTACGAGGCTCAACAACCTCAAGCTGATGGCCGTCTGGCACGTTCGCTGTACATCAATGCTCTGATGTATCTTCTAGATGCACTTCCCTCGGATCTTACAGCAGAGGAATCTGCCATGCTTCAATATCGTCTCCCAGATAATGTTAAGTCATCGATAGTGACATCCTCGCAGCCCTATGCAACACAGCTGGAAACCAGCATGTCCCCAAGGGCAATCCCCCCAGCGCGATCTTATCTTCATAGACTTCTTGCGTCCATAATTGTTCAGATCTTTCTCTTGGCCCGCTTTCTTCTGCCTTATTTCAGACTTCTGCTGCGCCAGGTCTATGAATACGAGCGGTCACACCGCATCACCCAACGAATTGTTATGACGACATTAGACGCGGCGGATGAGCTGGGGAAGAAAAGCGTCGATATCGGCTCAGCGGTCTGCAGATTCAATCAAGGCCGTGTTGGTGTAGCAGTTGCGAACCTTGCGAGCTGGTGGGTGGAGGGAATCGCAGGTGGAATATATGAAGGGGTTGGGGAGGGAATGATGCACATGGGTATATTGCGACAAGGCTTAGAATTTGATAGATTAGCATTGCAGATTGATGGGCGTTAAACTTTGATCCATTTTACCATTACATACGCATGTCACGAATTGATTCTTTACTTGGTGTAGCCATGTTTGTATACATCCGAGGTCCAGGATTGTCCCAGCAGTAGTCATTCAATTCCAGGTTACCATATTTCATCCAGGACAACATGACAAGCAGCTGACAAGAAGTGATACCATGATGAATATAGCACAAAGGTCCTCTAAGGACTTGCAAAAGTCCTTCAATTCGCCAGCGCCCTTGATCAATATCATTGATGTATGTAGTGTGGAGATCAGCGATAAGGCGGGCGATAAGCGACGTGTTGTGTTGAACTCCGCGGGATCTCCATCACTCTCCAGTTCCAACTACTAACCTGTGTTTTTACCATGTCAACCACCAGGTTGCCTTGTATTCCATCTATTCGGAAGCAGCAACTACACCTGGAGTTGTGAGTATCAGGCATATTCCGTTCAAATGAACTGTAACTGACCTCCTTTACAGCTCAAGCTTGCGACATGCCGCACCACTAGGGGTCTATGTGAGCCTTGCGCCTGGCGACCCAACTCTTTGGAGTGGTGTCATCTTCGTTCGCTCCGGTAAGTAGCAATTATAAAATGTTTGTTTTACCCACAGCTAAAACTCGGCTCTGCCTTGCCAGGACCCTACGCCTCCGCTATCCTTCGTTTCCAAATTCGCTTCCCAGATATCTATCCAGATCTGCCACCTCTCGTGACCTTTGCAACGGATGTCTTTCATCCATTGATTGTTCCCCTTACCACATACACATTCAGCACTAGCTCGACGAACGACGACCCGGTCAGCGCGACGGACGATGAACGGTTACCCCCCGGCGGGTTTAGCCTCAGACATGGATTTCCCCACTGGTTCGGCAGGGCCAAGCGAAGTGGACTTGCATCCGGGCCTTCATCACGGAATGTGAGCGGGAAAAGTACAGGCACTGAGACGGGGGAAAACACCAAACCAACTGCTCCGTCAACAGAGAACGATGTCTCCTCTGACGCCCCTGAAGCAACAGAAACCGAAGAAGTTGTGAACAGTACGGAAAGTCCTCACATTGCCCAGATACCCTCAGAATTTCAATTTGCAGAAGCAAGAAAGGTGGTCCCGGTTGCGGAACTTCTCAATTATATTCGCTCGACATTCGACGATGAATCTGTCCTTGACTCGTTACCCGTTGAGGTCGCCGGAAACCCGGGAGCATGGCATGCGTGGAAAGCACACCGCCGGGGAACTGATAGTTCTAGAAACTGGAAAAAGGGAAGTCCGCAGGCTCGGCAACCTGGAGATTGGCATTGGGATGGAATTTGGGCTCGGCGGGTACATGACGAGATTGAAGCCAGTCATTCTGACCCCATGTTATTTGGTGGCGCTACCCGTGGTGGTGGAGATGAGATGGTAAGCATTGTCCAGTTGATATAGTGAAACAGGTGCTAACCAAATTCAGATACGGTTTTCGCGGTTGGACGACGCTACAATGAGCTCAGTCAAGGAGAAAATGGAGTCGGTGGTTAACGTACATACAGAGCAATGATTCGTGCTTGCCTCAATATACCCAATTCTAGTCTTTTCGCAGTTGCATCGTTCCTGCCGAATATGAATATACAGACGGCTAACATCAACGAACTTCTATGCCTCTCATCCTTACAATTTGCTCACATTCTACCAAGATGACCAATATTTTATCCCTTGATTTTAAGAGCTCTGCATTGCTTATCGCATTGGTTCTTGTTCCTATCGTCGTCCTCTTTTGCGCCGTGGCCTTGATCCTTGCTTGCTCGCAGTACAGATTCACCCGACCTTCGTGGCTCCCACGGTGGTGTCGTTGCCGAGATCGTCGGGGGAAACAAAAGAGGCTTCGATCTAATCTGGGAAGTTCTGTGGGAAATCGAGAGACTGAAATCTCCGACGGAGCGCTCGAGTATGGACCGCCCGTCACTGGTCTCGAGCATGTCTAGGGGATTCGCGACCGAGGGTCCGGAACCACTTACGGTCAAGAGATGCAGCGTCTCACGAAGTCATAGTACCAGCTCGTCCTCGTCTTACCCAGAAATCCCCGGCCGAAGTTCATCACTCATTGGAAGCATGAGCGATGGCTCCTGTGGGCCTGTATCATCAACTAGAACGCCTTCTCTCAGCGATAGTCTCTACCGGATTGAAGTCGTGAAACCCCGCCAACATGGGCTACATCCACGACGAGATATAAATAGTTCTGAACTCTACTCGATGGATGACCCGTTCGTGGAGAATGTGACTGATCCCCGCTCGCTTTTCCAGCATGTTCCTTTGTTTTGCTAATTGATTCAATAGACTCCCAGGCCCACCCCCAAAGCACAGAGGCACTGGGCGCAGTATCCACAACTGGTCGTACGTTGGAGCTCTGGTTCATGGGATTCATCGCAGCTATCTCGACCGTCCAAATCTAGGAGTTACTGTGCTGAGTTGAAGCCCGCGGCCTCGGAGCTTCAACGCTCCCTATCGAATTCCGAGACGTCATATTCGTCTAACTTTCTACACCCCATGGATTTGCCCATCTCAGTTGTCAATGTGAGAGCAGCCGCAAATAGAACCCATATTGGAAAGGAGGCTACATCATTATGGACTACGGTAACTGTCTCGGCCGATGTTAGTCCTACGCCCTTCCCGGGAACCTCGAGTGTTGCTCCCCTGGACATAGTCATTCTTCTTGATGCTCTGTGAGTGCTCAGCACTCTCAAGCCTCGATGAAAGCTAATTGTATGAGTTTGCAGGCGTCAACCATCAGTCGATCTTATAACGCAGACTACTCTTGGTTCATATATTCTCGCCTCTCACCTAACATACAATCACGACAGGATTGCACTGGCCTATGTTGGCGGAAAGGCCAACCAGGGGTTCCAGATGTTGCTTCCACTGGGATTCTACCCGATTGAAGCTATTCGGTCTGCGCTGAACACCTTTTCGCGGCGCCAGTTGATCGACAATGAAGCTTGTTTAAACCTTGGAGATGTCTTTCAACGAGCTTCTAATATATTTTCGCATTCTCCTCGTGCAGCATTTTGCCATTTGTTCTTCGTCTCCGCAACGCCACCGGGGCACCTCCTGGTGCCTTGGATTGACCAAGCGATCGGCTTCCATACTATCACACCCCACGCATGCCTACCACTAGACAATAACAAAAGTCTGGCTGGCTGGCATATATCATACACCGTGGGGGAGTCTGACACGGGCCCCAGAGAAACCCATTTCATCCGCAGGATTGCTCGAGTCGTTAGACAATTGCGCACCGGAATACGCACTGGCTGCATTTCTGATTTGAAGATATCTATCGTCTCTGCACCTGGGTGCCAAATCCAGTCACTCTTCGAGAACATCACCTTAATGTCTCTTCGGCCCGGTGAGACGTGGAGCATTCCGGTTCAAATTCGTGTACCTGGTGCATTCAGGCAATCATCCCAAATCGCACAAAATGCGCCTTCCCAGCAACACCCCTTGATCAACGAAATGATGAGTCGAATCAATTTTCTGCTGCAGGATTTCTCTTCCGATGAGATTACACAGCCTCTCCTGACTGCGCATGTAAGCTATCAACATTCGTTTTTACCAGCGCCTAGCACAATTCATGTCGACACTCATCTTACTGTTATTCGACGAAAAGAAACTGAGTTGAGCGCCCCTCGAGGTTGCGTGAAAGTGAGCATGGCAAGCAGTGCGCAAGACAGTGACTTCAGTCCTAGCTTGAGCTCCTAGTCGATGCGGACTTGAAATCTCAAGCTTGTCTTTTTCCACCGGTTACTAGTATATTGTTATCAGCTTGCTTTCTGGTGTGCCATTGTATATATTGCTGAACCGTCTAGTTACAAAAGAGTTGCTTCAAACGGCTTCAATGTTTAAGTTCGTTCAGGTCTATTGAGTCAAAATGGTTAGGACCTAGTAGGCCCACTGGTCCTTGATCATGTAGTCGCAGCAAATTTCGTCGATCCAGTAGGCTTACTGATCTCTCTAGCAGCAATCACGTCAAATCCGAGGATAGACATTTCCTGCCTGGCGCCAAGTCTCCTTAATGAGATCCGCGCACTTCTCACCAATTCCGTAAGCCGGCATCTGGGCATGACCTCCATGCAAAGTCGGCATGACACTACAGTCAGCCACACGGAGACCAGTTACACCCCTGACCTGCAGTTTCTCATCCAAGACAGCCATAGGGTTATCCTCTCTCCCCATTGCACATGTACCCGCAGCATGATAACCTATGACAATAATCAGTATCCACAACCCAAAACCAAAAACCGTTATACGAAACTTACAGGTCGTAGCATGCTCCTTGACATAAGGGACCCACTCCTCCCTAGTCGTATAGGTATGATGTTTCAAATTCGAAGGCCAAGACCCCTTAACAATATCCTTCGTCCCAGCTCCCTTCATGATCACCTCATTACCAAATCGGCAAGCCTCACTAAGCAGCAACATATCCAACGGGTCATCCAGATAGTTACAATCAACAACAGGATTATCCAATGGATCAGCCGACGTAAGCGTAACAGAGCCGCGCGACTTCGGTGCAAACAATTCCGCAATCATTGAGAACGCATGCTGGTTGTTACCCGGGAACTGGTCATACTGCTTCGGTCCACCGTAGCACTCTGTCGTGAAAAATTCGATGTTCGGTTGGTTCGGAGCTAGACCCATTGGATCGCGGCCTGGGAGTCGGGGTGCATTTTTCCATAGGGGTTCGTTCTTGAGTCGCTCGTCCAATCTGGCGAAAGCGAAGATACCAAAGGGGAATGTGGATAGGAAGCCTGTTTTCTTTTCTTTCCAGAGTCTGTAGGTGTTTTCAAAGTTGTCGCCGTGGTAGACGGCGTAATCATTTGTCAGGCCTGCTTTCTCAGTTTCATAGAACATGAAGACGATCTGTTGGGTTAGCTTTGTTTATGTTTTGCTTTTGGTGTTGGGTACTTACTAGGTGGTCCAAGAGGTTCCTTCCGACTCCGGGTGATTTGACTGTGATTGGGATGCTGTGCTTTTCTAACTCTTCCTTAGGGCCGATACCCGAGCGAAGGAGAATGGCAGGACTGCAGTATGCGCCTCCGGAAATGATGATTTCCTTTCTGGCGAAGAATGTCTTGCTTGTACCATCGTTCGCTTTGGTGACAACACCCGACGCGCGGGTCTGTCCGCCTTGTTGCTTGAAAATCACTTTATCAACGGTTGTATCGGTGGTGATCGTTATGTTATTGCGGTGGTTTTTCCTTGTCACAAAATCGGCACCTGTTGTTCGGAGGCCTTTGTATACTGTTCGAGGTACGTGACCACATCCTTGGGCGACGTCGCCGGTACTAAACATGTCGTGGTGTAGAGGCATTCCTTTTGATTCCAATGACTGGAGTATCAATTCAGAGATTGGAGCTAGGTCGTGGGGCTCTGTATGGAGAGGCCCAGAGTAACCGTGGCTTTTGGCATCAGCCTTGTGCCACGGCTTGGGGTGGAATGTTTCGGCCTGTAATTATAGTTTAGCCTCTACTCGTAATGAAAAAAGCGGCTTCTCGATATCTTGTACCTTTCTCATGTACTTGAAAAATTCCTCTCCTCCCCATCCTTCCAAACCCCAATCATCGTAATCCTGCTTGGCGCCGCGGATGCAAAGAGTGCCATTGCAACCACTGCATCCACCGAGGAATCGACCACGACTCAACTTGACCTGACGGTTGTCGACACCCTTCATAGGGGGAGTAACAAAATTCCAGTCCGTCTCGGAGTCGAAGTTGTTCGACCATCTTTTCGGGGTTAGCGACGACCTTTTTCCCACGGCTTAGCGATCACTCACCCTCCTGCCATGTGTGTGTTCTCCAGGTCCTTATTGTGTTGACCAGCCTCAATGAGCAGGATCGAAATCTCTGGATTTTCAGCCAGACGAGCTGCGACAACACACCCGGACGTGCCGCCACTACCTCATGTCAGTGATGTGTCTTCTATTGGTAGATTTGCAGGTAGCATGCTTACCCACAGACAATATAGTCATAAGTACTTTCGCTCGGAGCCGCCATAATAAATGAATCGTGGGAGGGTAATACAAGAAGTCCGGATCTCAGCAACAAATTCCCTGGCGATTTTCGCGTCTTAAAAACATTTGTACGACTATGCTGATGTACCAAGCCCCTCTCTGCGGCCCCTTGGCGGAGCTTTTAGCTCGGGAGGCGGTCGTCAATTCCGCCCATCTGCATAAGAAGGGTGACCCAAGGACATTTAACCGAGGCTTTGACAGCTTTCATTGGGTTTGGTGACTGTTAAGGCAACGGGGGCGGAATGTTCATAATTAGATCCCGATACCCCGCACGCACCGCCCAACTCTATATTTCATGTTCACCAATCAAATTCCAGTGAACTCTAATTTCGCATGGAACGATCCGCGATACTCTCGATTTTGGATCTTCGTATCTGGGGTCTGGGGTATGGGGAATCGATGATGTCGCTCTTGGTGAACTTTTTGTTTTTAAATATGCGGTGTAACCACGCGGGATCGCCAAGGTAAGAGCTTGTAAAATTGTTCCACATTTATTCAAGCTAGTCACTAGGTGCATACTATTGGGATGACTGTGACGCCGAAAAATTCGCCAAGGCTGGTGCTGCATCTCGATTTTGCTTACGGTCCCACACTGGATCGCCGTCATCATCGAATTCCGCCCACTGGAAGAATGTACAACTCTGTTTCCCAGGTGTGGTACCGGCGTAGCACATCCACATATACCTCCCACGATTTTCTTGCTTGCGCTGTGAGCATCGTAGAATTGCATGTGTCCCACAACGACAACGTGGCGTAAATCGAGGATGGAGGGTATCACGATACCAGCGATAAGTAACATTGATGCGACGATTTCCTGCGAGAGGGTGCGGGGAGATATTTTGAGCAGGTGCTATAGCGTGCTTCCATTCCTCTTGCATCTCGGCATGCATTATCAAAAGTGAATTATGTGGAAGGTGGATGGAGATTTGACCTTGGGCATCTGCACGCGCAGTGGACGCCTTGGACGATTTTGCTTTTGTAGAAGGTGAGCTAGCGTTTTGATCGTCGTTCGCTTCCGCAGCTCCACTTTCCCCATCTTCATCTTGGGCGACGATCCGGCGGACACGGAATTCTCGTTCCACGCCTAAACTCAGGCTACCAATTATTGGGTGTGGCCCGAGATAAGTTAGCTCATCAGCATGATAACCCACACTCTCCGTAGGTCCGTCGTAGCAGTTCACAAAGGCTGCATTCGGTCGCCACTGTTTCGGTGACTGGTATTTCAGCTTCTTTCCGTCTGGGTATACGTTTCGAATCCGATTTTGAATTTCTTCGTTCACGATGCGCTGCACTTTCCGGGAGACTGCACGTAGCTCTGGTGTTGCTTGTCGCACATTTGACCGATATGTGCCGCCGTACGTGTACTCTGATGTTTGTTGTTTGTACTCCTCCGGCGTAGAGACATATATGCATGCCGTATGCGGGCTTTGCACCGTACGGTTGAAGAGTTGAAATTCATACCTGGAAAAGTGCTCTGACTCTTCCAGGAGCTCCGTCAAGAGCACATTCGCTTCTTCTGGAGGAAGAAAATTGTGGATGATTGTACAGGGTGTATTGACCGCGACGTCCTCGGGAGAATAGAGATGCAGAGTCTTTCCTTTCTGAGTAGCTAAAGGTTTGATATCTTTCATCGGGGTGAGAGATCCATCTTTGGATTTCGTTAGGACATGGGAGGACAATGACGTTTGAACCCCGAGAGATGACCCAGGAGCTACTCGTTTTCTTGATGTCACGCTTCCCGTGGAGCTCTTTGATAACAGCAAAGAGGAGGCGTCTTCAACCGATCCATCACAGGAGACAAGAAAATCAAGTAGATCATCTTGTTCAACCTCCGGGTGTAGTGATATGAGAATAGCTAGCTTAATGTCGGTCGACTCTTCACCGTCGGTGTTGATATTCTCGGGAACGTCACCACCCAAACTTCTCTGCTCTGGCTCCGACAGCCTTCGCCTTTTTTTGGAAAGAAACGCATCCATCGATCTTAGATTCCCAACGCCACGGTCCTGTTCAGCAACAATGCAAAGTGAACAAGTGAGGATAGAGAAATGATTGATAAAGTTGACGATAAGGCCCTTATCAGCACATGACTCACATCAAAGTGACCAATGGCATCACAGATTCAGTATCTAGCATAGTAGAACACCAGAACAAAAAAGAAAAGTTAGAGTATTCAATAATTGATGTGGACTTGCTTTTCCAAATTTGATTTTAAAGAGCCACAAACATGTCGTTATTCGTAAATCCATTCTAACGAAGTTACAAACTGCTCCATTTCCCTTTTCCAAGGTATACTCGACCCTCGCGATGATATTCCACCAAACGTTTCAGCTGCCTTAGTCCATCGAATACTTCAAGGAGCGCAGGTAATGCCACCATAGTCCAGCCCCGGTAGTTCCCACGGTATTCCCCAGTATGATCAAATTGACTGGATTGCGCCGGACATGTCTCTTGCCAACACCTTGAGTCTGGGTAATTCTCCTCAACTAGCTTAACCCAACACCGACCCAGATCTACAGATTTTTCACTCATCGCACATGACTCAAGTATAGCTTTTAGGTTCGCCAGTACCTGGTCGTCAATCATTAGGCAGACTCGGAGTCGACTGGGTAGCTCTGTGGATGGGAGAAACAATGACACTTTATAGTCATGAAATGCCCGACGGACCCCATCTTCATCGAGACCATTGTATTTTCCGTGGGCTGTGAATATTTTGGAGGAATAGCTTTTTATCAGTGCGTCAAGCTCCTCTTTTGAGCCTGTGAGCGTTTGACCTAGGGATTTGCTCACGGCATTATTCAAACAGCGCAAGAAAATAGGAATTATGTGTTTCGTTTCAGGTGTATAGCAAGTTCGATAGATGAGTGGGCCCCAGCTGAAAACAATCAAGTCGCGTATGGGGCCTGCCGGAAGCGCTCGAAGGCCTGGGGATGTACCGAGTCGAGTGACTTCCTCTTGCAAGAAAATGGCGGCCGGGGAAGTATACTCCTCTGTATCGGACATGGTGGGCTTTAAAAGTTCCGATGTTGTCTCAACTGGTTTTCTGATTTAAAAAGACTCATATTCATCGTGTTGAAGTCGGTAGGTTTTATCCGAGTGGAATGCAGTCATGTCGTGTAGGTGCAGAATCCAGACCATGGTGGCGTCATATCCTTTACCAGTTGCTCGATGCATGGTTCCGAGTTCATAGCGACCTGATTTTTGACAGGCCATTGGAATACACTTGGGCTTTTCATATGGGGAAGATCGTATTCTCAGGGTTAAACCTTCTATCACTGGCTGGACTTTTTGAGGTGTGGGTAGTTGACGTCAATGATATGCAGGGTCTCAGTAAGCAGACTACGGCTATAACAGGAACCTGACCATTATATGGTCGGCGCAGTTACAACGCATATTACAGGGATTATTGTATGAGGACTTTGCTTCAATGCCAAATTCAATGATTGCGACAGCTCCCATTAGCCTGAGGAACGTGCAGGTGTGGGCATTATGTGAAGTATACCGAGCCTTGCCCAGCCCGATAAGGCGATAAGGATCCGGTAAACCTCGGTCCAGCTCAATTGATTCCCCCCGCAGTCGTTCATTCGTTCCTTTCTCATAAACGCGTTGAATGTGATACGACTTTCTTATCGTGATACCCTGAATATTCATTTCTGACCTTTCTTTGACGCGTTTTTTTCTGTCTGTTCTTTCAAGTGATTGGGCGCTCCCCGAATCCACTCCTCACCATGCTGCAGTTCCGCACGCAGGGCTTCAACGGGACGGCCGTCAAATACTCTCCATTTTTCGATAATCGTATCGCGGTCGCGAGCTCTGCCAATTTTGGGCTCGTTGGAAATGGTCGGCTCTGGGTCTTCGAGTTAACAGCCCAAGGGATTCAGCCTATGAAATGGTGAATACGCGCCCAGGAACACTTGTGTGAATCTGTGATTTTCAACAATAAACACTAACCATCTGGCATGATTATCCTATTAGGTTCGCCACACAAGACTCTCTCTATGATCTGTCCTGGTCGGAGATCCATGAAAACCAGGTCGTTACAGCATCTGGTGACGGCAGCATCAAGTTATTTGACTGCACAGTCAACGATTTCCCTGTCCAGCAATGGAAAGAGCACAATCGAGAGGTGTTCAGTGTGAACTGGGGCCCAATCGAAAAAGACAAGTTCTGTTCCAGCAGTTGGGACAATACCGTACGCATCTGGTCACCACATCGCCAGCAGTCCCTCCTCACTCTCCCGATCCACTCCTGCACCTACTCCGCAACCTGGTCCCCACACAATGCCAACCTCCTCTCTTGCGTATCGAGTGATGGTCATGTGCGTCTATATGATTTCCGCACTCCCGCCTCTGCCTCAAATCACCAAGTCATGACATTCCGCAACTCTACACCGCGGGGCACACCCGGCTTAGATAAACTGCCACCCCACGCTACCGTCCCCAACGAAGTTCTCACCCAAGACTGGAACAAGTACCGCCCGAACGTGCTCGCAACAGGTGGTGTGGATACTGCAATTCGGGTATTTGACATTCGGGCCTGTGAACAAGGTGCTGCGACAACCATGGTAGGCCACAACTATGCTGTCAAGAAAGTAGCCTGGTCACCACATCTCTCCAGTGTTCTACTGAGTGCTAGCTACGACATGACCTGCCGGGTATGGAGTGACAATTCAGAAGCGGTGCCGGCCGGTCAGGAACTAGAGTTTACGCGCTCGGGTCCAACACTTGGAAGGGAGCTGGGCCGGATGGCCAGGCATACGGAGTTTGCAACTGGTATCGACTGGTGTTTGTTTGGAAGCGAGGGCTGGTGTGCAAGTGTTGGCTGGGATGAGAACCTTTTCGTGTGGGATGTTCGAGGATCAATGTCCTAACTGTGATGATTTCATTTTATTTGCCTGCATCTAAGGCCGTTCTTTAGCTGATACCTCGAGGGATTATTATTCTTATCCGCAGACCATTTTTATCTGAGGTCTCTTCATCTGACACTTCAAAATACATATTCTTATAGCATTCTATCACGAAGTGCAACTAACCTTAGGAGGCCGTCTTCAAGATTTTTATGTGATGTATACGGTTCGTTAGTTTGAATTGTCTCCTCTTCGTAGACTCGATCTATCTGTTCACTTAGCCGAATCCAAAATTCCAAACTCTTCTGCGGATTCTGATTGATGATGAAGACATCCCCAGGTTGCAAGCCGAGAAAACCATGCTCAACGAGATTATTCCCAGATGTTTCTCTCGGCCAGGTAAGGGCTCCTTGGAGTAATTACCCGCAGGTGTCCAGCAGTGCAGCACTACAATCAGGAAAGGACTGGTGGCCTGGGATAAGAAAGCTCTGCGGGGCTAAGAGAAGAGCGCGTTCCCCTGCGTGCGCATTCATGTAATCTCTTACATGTCTACTGCAAAACAAAGGTCAGTTGTGAATCCAACTCATGATGACGCCCCGTTAATGCAGTCTTCTTTATATACATAATTCCCTCTGCTGCTCACGGGTATAAGGTATGCGATTCCGATGAACAAGCCCTCACTCCTGTCTCCCACATTATCACGGTCTTTGTCCATCACTTGGGCAAAATATCACACAGTCTCTGCGGTTACTGGACATAGTAAGGCAACGATTGTGAAGTTGAAGGTCCCGTTTACTGTGGGAATAGTGACCGTTTCGATATTCGTTATCGGTAAGGTGACCATGGACGCGACAGACATGTCAGCACTTGGCAAAATCGTAACAGCTGCCAGAAGTGTCGCATCGGGATAGGTAGCAACAGGGGTATTTCCGGAGTACCTATAACTCCTCAATATGATGCGGTCGTGCCAATCCACTTCTTTCTCGTTCTCAAAGCCTCCCGTATCTGCACTATGTGGGACCATCTTACCATGAAATGAGCTGCTCGATTGACTTGTAGGCAATCTTGCGGATGAAGATATAGATGAAGAAGAAGATGAGCAGGACGATCTCCATCGATAGCACCCACAGAAGATATTTGACGGGGCATTGGAAGAAGCGATCTAAGAAGAGGCTGAAGACTGCAGAAAACATGATGTTTTGTGGGGCAGGATGGGATAGACCAAGAAATAGAAAATTTGAGCCGAAGGAAGAAGTGAAAAGGACCATTGTTGCTCTTGAAGTTACTGTGTTGATGTTCAGGTCCATTGCTTAGGGGAAGAGCAGACAGTGCTCTTTCCATTTTGCATCAGAAACACTACGGCATTGCTTAATGCCTTTGCCTTTCGTTTTGTCAATTGTCAGTGCATGTTAGGAAAGCGAATGACTTCAAGCTAGAAAGGAGACTGTGTATGTGAATCTAAGGTCTAACTAGACGACAGTCCGCCAGACCGCTTTATGGAATATATACAGTTGCTCGTCCTAGTCTCCACTTCTAGTATACCTGCCACCACTGATAGTTCTACCGAGAACATTTAGCTCAAAAATGCTTGGTCTTCTCCCTGAATGTCCCTTGAATCTGGACCATTTGACGCTTGTGTTTTAGCAGCTACATACCAAAGACTTTTCCAATGGCTCCGTTGGATTTCCTTGTTGTCAGCTTCAATTCTAGCTCAAACTTTCGGATAAATATCCTTGGACTAGCCAGTTGTCCCAGCGATTCGATGCCTGACAGGTGCTCGTGTGGGGCGTGGCGATCAGCCGGAAGTTCGGCTACACGACCACGTAATCGGGACGCGTGATGAGGTGCTACGATATCGTCATCAGCTCCCACTCAGAATCCAGGATTATCCAGACAATCAGATCACGATACAGAATTATCGCGATAATCTTTGCGCGCTTTAGCTCCCATGCAACTGCCCTTTTGCTCCTCAAGCTATTTAACTCCATGGTATTACTTGGGCTCGCTGCATGAACGATCTAGGTACATGTAGCCCCGCATTGTTTAAAGACTAATCAAATCACACTAAGCACCATATCCACTCAACTGCCAGCTGATGTGTATACAGTGTGTACCCCGCACAGTTTAGATATCGGGTTATCGGCAAACGTGACATTGGGGAAATGTGCAAGCCGGACAACCAATTGCGTGATTTATAGTCCCGATTCTTCGGGATTATATGTACCACTCCTCTATCAGCAGATTTACTATAAAAGGAAGTAAATCTGGCCGGTTCCATAGCCTCAGGTTGTGCTTCACATTATCTACCATCATGGCTCCTATCCCTGGCGATTCGCTGCCTGTACGCCCTAAGCCTAATAACGAGCAGCAATACCCTGCACCTCTCAAGCTCAGCGGTGCTTTAGATCAACATGAGTTTGAAGAAACAACCCCAGTGATTGGTCGTGAATTCCCCAAAATCAATATCGTCGATGATATTTTGAATGCACCAAACGCAGATGAGCTGGTGCGAGACCTTGCTATCACGAGTAAGTGTTCAAAATCATCTTGGAGTTTTAAATGCTAACCTATGAACTAGTCTCCCAGCGTGGTGTGGTCTTTTTCCGCGCCCAGAATAACCTCACCGATGCCCTCCAGAAGGAACTAGTACACAAACTAGGCCAAGCAGCCGGTAAACCCGCCGACTCAACGCTCCACATCCACCCGGTCCTAAACAACACCAATGAATTCGGCGTTGACGACGCCCAAGTCAGCACAATCAGCTCGCTATCCCGCAAGAAGATGCACCGCCACGATCAACAACGCAACAGACGTCGCTATGACTCCGCACAATGGCACTCGGATATCCAGTTCGAGCCCGCACCGGCAGATTACACCTCTCTCCGATTAACCCAGCTCCCCAAGACCGGTGGTGATACGCTCTGGGCATCAGGATATGAGATGTATGATCGGTTCTCAACGCCGTACCAGAAATTCTTCGAGAGTCTTACTGCAACCTACACCGGCACAGGCTTTATTCAAGCCGCAGAGAACGATCCCAAGAATGTATTTATCTACACTGAGCCACGCGGCAGCCCGTTGAATGTCGGGAAGGAGTTGTCTACTGTTCATCCTATTGTGCGGACGAATCCAGTTACTGGGTGGAAAAGTATTTATGCTGTTGGGCCTTTCCCGAAGCATATCAATGAGCTTAATCCAGAGGAGTCGGATGAGCTTTTGAAGAAGTTTTATACCACTATTACTGAGAACCATGATTTGACGGTGCGGTTTAAGTGGAGAAATGAGAATGATATTGGTAAGTTGGATTTATACCGATATTAGTTTCGTGGTTAATTGCTGACTGCTCTATTCTAGCTATCTGGGATAACCGTTCTGCTTTCCACACTGCTACTTTTGATTATGAAGGACTTGGAGAGCGATTTGGTCACCGTGCCGTTGGTATCGGCGAGAAGCCTTACCTCGACCCCAACAGCAAATCGAGGACTGAGGCTCTTGCTGCCGAGGGCGCTTGAGCTTATAAGACAGGCAGAATTGTACATAAATATGTCTAAGCTAGCTGGAGTTTCTTAAAAATGACTTCCATAGTTTAATTGATCAGCCACAGCAACTAAGCATCACGGTCATTGCATTTCGTAATTTTATGTCCAACGCTAAGAATGCCTGTAATATGCATTAGACCCGCTCACATTTTACCTGTCATGCACGACTATGTCTGCTTAAACAGCGCCTCGGATTCAGATCGCTGCGTATATGACTGCTAGCATGACCCATAGGTCGTTTGCCTTCAGATTATGCATGCCAAAGTGGCATGCATGACCTAGTGCGCAATGCAGTCGCGCAATCTGAATCGCCGCGGCGGACATTGCATCTCCAATGAGAAGTCCTTCAAATGATAAATAGGTTCCACCAATTTAACCCAATCTGCGCTCGGTCTTGCCGCGCTCCTGTTCCCGAACAGCAGCGATCTCCTCCTTGGAAGCGTTAACAGCAACGTGAACCTGGTTGAAGGGGTTCTCTTCGCTCTTCTCGAATTCCTTGCGGCAGAGGTCCATGCGCTGCTGTCGTCGCAGGCCAGGGTTCTCCTCCTCAATCTCGGGCAGTCGACGGGCTTCGAATGCAGCGTAGGCGGCCTTGAATCGTCGCTCGGGGTGTCGCTCAACCTTGGTAGACTCCTTGCTCGTCAGGGACAAAGCATCCAGCGCATTGTCAATACCGGAAGCGTTGAGGGAGGTTCCCTTCTTAGAGGGCGCATCATCCAGCTGTGACAAATCGAGACCACGGTTCTTCTTCTGTGCGGTCTTGGCTCCGGCACCCTTAGGCTTGGAGGGGGCAGCAGCTTCTTCCTCGGCTATCAAAGCATCACGCTCGGCCTTCTTGCGAGCGGCTTCGGCTTTTTTGGCTTCGGCGTCCTCCCTATCAAACAAACATTGTGTTAGCCATTGATCTCTTCATTGGCAAAGAGCACAGTTCATACTTCTTAGCATTGCTCTTGGATCCCTTGGACCATTGCTTTTCATCCTCTGCAGCCTTCTTCTGGTCCTCAGCGGCCTTCTTCTGAGATGCGGCGTCGGCTTTCTATTCCATCGTTAGCATATTCTGGCGCGTTAGAGGCAAGGATGGCGGGGGCGGGGTTATGTCAATACATACGCGAGCGTTGCCAGCGGCCTTCTTGGAGTTCTCTCCAGCTGCTTTCTTGCCACCCATATTGTTAAGGCTTGTCCTCTGTTTAATTTGCTGTATTGATCGGAGAAAACGGGCAAGTATGAAGAAGAAAAAAGTGGATTGCTGTTCGGTGATCTGATCCGCCTGGTGATTATGCCGGTGCCGAAGCGGGCGGTGTCTCTGTGACTAATCTATACTTCAGCATGAACAGGTGCGTCATGTTTATTGTTGAGTCTGGACTCTGAAAGCCCCTTGGAATGCATGTGAAAGTAGTTGCTTGCTTTTATTACTGCGTAGGCTCCTTTTTTGATCTGATAATCAATTCATTAAAGCCAGCGCTAAGCCTTGTTTGTTCGTGGCGTGGTTATCGTCCCTTTATGCCTGAGGATCTAGGTGTCACTTCCCCCAATGCGTCGTTTGTCATCATTTAGCTCCACCTGAGCATCTTGAGATCTATCATCCTGGCTGTCCATTTGCCAACATTTCCTCTGGCCATACAAGTCCCGGTGATGGCCTTCATATAGTTTGGGCAATTGATCATCAGCGACTTCTGCCCTATCGTTTCCACCTTACGCCTCGTCGTCTTTCCGTCCAGCTAGCGCATCTGGAATCTTCTCTCCTTTCCAGAGTATGATCTAGCTCCCCTCACCACCACAATGACGTTGTTCTCTCGTTTCTTGCAGCTGCTGTCGCTGCTTCTGCTCATTTGCGCAGTGACCGCGGAGCACACATCCAACTGGGCGGTGCTGGTCTCAACCTCCCGATTCTGGTTCAACTACCGTCACCTCGCCAATGTCCTATCCCTTTACCGAACTGTTAAACGGCTCGGCATTCCCGACTCACAAATCATCCTCATGCTGCCTGATGACATGGCCTGCAACCCCCGCAACGCCTTCCCTGGAACCGTATACAGTAATGCGGACCGCGCCGTCGACCTGTACGGCGACAACATCGAGGTGGACTACAGGGGCTACGAGGTCACAGTGGAGAACTTCATTCGCCTCCTAACCGACCGACTCGACGAAGACGTACCACGCAGCAAGAGACTTGGGTCCGATGCGGGCAGCAATGTACTCGTATACATGACCGGCCACGGTGGAGACCAGTTCCTGAAATTCCAGGACGCGGAGGAGATCGGTGCATGGGATTTGGCCGATGCATTTGGCCAGATGTGGGAGAAGAAGCGCTACCACGAATTGTTGTTCATGATTGATACTTGCCAGGCGAATACTATGTACACCCACTTCTACTCACCCAACATCGTCGCCACTGGATCCAGTGAACTTGACCAGTCGTCTTACTCCCACCATGCGGATAACGATGTCGGAGTTGCGGTTATTGATCGTTGGACCTACTACGTGCTTGAGTTCCTCGAAACCCAAGTGACTAGTGCCAATTCCAAGTTGAATTTAGGTGATCTGTTCGACTCCTATGACGAATCGAAAATTCATTCACAGCCCGGTGTGCGATGGGACTTGTTCCCCGGCGGCGAACAGGAAGGCCGTCTTCGGACTGTGGTGGACTTCTTTGGCAATGTCCAGAATGTCGAGGTTGAGAATGCTAACGCAACAGAACCGGGTTCCTTGAAGGAAGACCTGGCTGAGATTGCGCGACTGGTGGAGAAGTGGCAGAGGCGCGATGTTGAGTACTCCGCCATTCTCAATAACTCGACAGAGCAACAGGCCGGCTCACCTTCAGTTCATTTGCCCCGGAAGCAGACTGTTGGGCCCACCCGAATGACAGACGATAGCAGCTGGGGCAAGCGCCTGGTTGGTATATCCGTTGTGGGAGCATGCACTGCCATCTGGGTTGCCGGTTCATATCTTGGGCGCTCTGTGGCTTAACTCAATCGAGCCATAAGTCTAGTTTTGTCAATTTTTAGCCCAGGATTACTGTATATAGCATGTTATTGGAGCTCGGCGTTCAGCGTGATGTTAGGCAAGGTGCCTATCTCTTATCTACGATTGCTTTTCAACAAATTTTGGCATATAGAATAATTAGCATTCATATTAAAATGCATTTAGAAGCATATCAATTGAGTATGAGACAATCTGCAACAGATGGTTCGAAGCACCAATGAGCTGTCTTGGAATTGGACCACAAGTAAGCGGGTCGCATGATTGTCAAAGTGTAGGGTTATAGCGCGCATTATTCCTGTTTAATGCATTATATGGGACATTTCGAGTCAAATAATAGAATTTTTTAGGTAGAACAGTAAAAAGGCATATGTTAGCACATACAGTTGCATCTATACAGATTTTCTTATGCGAAACCACTTAAGCATCACCTCTTCAAAGATATACACAGTAGCAGATTTGTGGATTGTGAAATTAGTCAAGGAATCTCTCTCATGCAGATTTGCAGTAAATAGACCCAGTATAATAGATAATATGTAAGTATCAAGCAGGGGGAAGTAATTAAACGAATAATTCGACTGTCTCGGCGACCGATGGAATCCAGTGGCACGTGCCCGACGCGTCGCGCTTTCCCTTCCGGAGCAACTAGATTCGACCGCAATCAACCTCACGATAATTCCCCAACTTTGCTGTGCTGTGCTTTGCTTTGCTTTGCTCCGTTCTATTTTCTATTTTTAATTCTTCATGCTCACACTCATCTCCTACCCTCCACCTTAGCTGGCCATGTATCTTCCGCGCCAGCTCATCTCCCAATTATACCTTCAACTCCTCCGAACTCAGAATCCGCAATCCCCGTCTGTCTTGATCCTTGTGGCACTCGAACCCGACGCGCTATGTGCTTGTCGAATTCTCACCGAACTATTAAAACGCGACTTTATCCCTCATAAAATACAACCAGTGGGCGGCTATGGCGACCTTGCGCGCGTGGGGCAGGACCTGGTTCAGCCGATGCAGACCACCAATGGCGGTTCCGGAGGTGTGGTCGTGTGTCTTGGTGTAGGAGGACTGGTCGATTTGGCAGATATTCTGGGATTGAACAACCCTGAAGATGGTTCAGAGAATATGGGAGGGGTCGATATCTGGGTCTTCGACGCGCGCCGGCCATGGAACCTGGGCAATGTCTTCGGAGGTCAAGGTGGTATGAGCTCAGCGATGGCGGAGATCGATATAAATGCACGACGGCGCGGGCGCGGAGTTGATAACGGGTGTATCACCCCTGCTTACACGTCGAAGAACGGTGGCATTGTCGTGTTTGACGATGGCGATATTGAGGGAGATCTCAGCAGTGAACGAGAGGCATACTATGCCCTTTTGGATATGCCCGAGGTTGACGAAGATGACGAGAGTGAGGATGGATCTATTGGTGAGGCGGACGATGAAGACACACAGCCTGGCTCGAAAAAGCGCAAGTCTTGGTCCGGCCGCGAGGATGAGGACGATTCAGACGAAGATGACGGACCTCCAAGGCAGCGGAAACGCAGCAACTCGGTACGTCCATTTTTTTCTTTTTTCTTTACAGCCGATGTTGGATATTAGACCAAGGGCTAACATACTGCAGGGGTCTTCATTTGTCACTTCACCCAGTCGGGGAAGGAGGAATGGGATCAACTCGTCCAACTCATCACGTTCTGTCACCCCTACCAGTGATTCCCCATCGCCTGAAGAGCAAAAAGAACCATCGGCACGATCTTTGAAGCGGCGCTTAATTCGACTCAAAAAGAAACACGAGGCGGTATTGCAAAATTACTACGCGTCAGGTACATCATACTCCGAGCCAATCTCTTCTTTGATCTACTCCCTAGCATCGGAACTTGGCCGTGAGGACAACGACCTTCTTTGGCTTGCGATTATCGGTGTTTCCAGCTTAGAGCTTAGCGGCCGAACCATGACTGGTGTGGGAATTTCAAATACCTCGGACTCGGGAGGTTCTGCAGGCTGGGGTGGACAGCGTGGAGAACATATTCGCCAGATTCTACGAGATGAAGTCCACCGTCTCAATCCACCTGACCCATTGGAGCAAAATCGAGATATTAGGGGCGAGATTCATGGAGTCATACCAACTACAGCTAGATCTCCCACCGACACATCAATCCGTCTTTCCCCAGAGCCGCGTTTCCTGCTTGTTCGTCACTGGTCGCTCTATGAGAGTATGCTTCACAGTCCTTATTTGGCCCCAAGGCTCCATGTCTGGACTGAAAACGGTCGCAAGCGACTGCACAAGCTGTTTGCCAAGATGGGTATCAGTCTCACCCAGTGTCACCAATACTATACACATATGGACATGGAATTGAAGCGGGTGCTTCGGGGGCGGCTGCTCAAGTATGCACCGATGTATGGTTTGGATGGCCTGGTTCCTCCAGAACCATCTGGAAACTCCAGTTCCCGTGAAGGTTGGGGCTTTGTTCGTTGCTGGGGCTGGAAAGCATGTCTCTCTGCCACAGATGTCGGCGTTATTCTCGGAGCTATGCTCGAGGTCGGCCCACACGAGACTTCCCCTTCCTGGGATGCGGCACGTATACCTCGATTACAGAGCTCAACGAACGCTCCTGAAAATGCAGGCGCTCTGGAAGAATCCGATTCGGCAAGCATTATTCCTCGCTTTTTCAGTGCATATGATGCCACTTCCCTCACATCTGAAGCGCCTACCATTCTGATGGGGGCCTTGCCCCTGGCTCAGCATCTCCACCGTGCGATCCTTCGCACTGGCACATCACTGCTCTCCAAGCACCAAATTCGACATCTTCGAGCCTTCCGCATTGCTGTTGTCAAGGATGGACCGGATGTGCAACTTTTTACGAACCCTGGGGCTTTGACAAAATTGGCCTTGTGGATTGCGGAAGCCATTCGAGTACAAGAGCGTGAAAAAGGTGACTCGGTGAAGATTGGGCGGAAACGAGCTGCCGGTACTCCTCTCGTCCTTGCCGGGCTTGATGAGGCCCGAGATCTATATGTCGTGGTAGGCACTGGTGGTGGTGGCGGCGTGATCGACTTTGCCGCCATGTCGAAGCGTCAGGAAGAGCGACGCAAGAAGAAGGAGGCCAAGGAGAAGAAAGACAAGGCGCGGGCGGAAAACCGAGCTAAGCGCGCTGCTGAGCGTGCCGAGCGAGAAGACGATGAAGCCGAAGAATCTGAAGACGAATCCGAATCGTCCTCCGAATCGGAATCGGAATCCGAAGATGAGGAAGACCCTCGGGGCAAGAAACACCTGTTGCGCAATCGGTTCGGTATCGCCTTCCAGGAAGTGGTCCAGGAGACCAATGCCCGTGTCCGTATTGACAGCTTCGAGCACTGTGTGGTCGAGGTAGCGAAGGACGACCTCGGTGGTTTCTTGGAGGCACTGAGCTTCCGGAGCGTGGTGGGCTAACAGCTCATTCACACGAAAACTCACATTCTTTTACGCAGTCTACGACCTGACATATTGCACTATTTACACGCTTTTTGAGTTATGGGGGGAAAGGACTTGGGTTTGAGGATGCGCTGGACTGAAAGGGACTACATGATCAATGAGCTGTTGCATTCACGTCCGTTCTCTTGCATTTCTAAGGTCCTTTGCGGACAATGGCGTTTGGAGGTGCTGTGTTTTATTATCGTCATCTAGTATTTGGTAGCCATCGATCTCCAGCAATGAAATCTATTTTGCATCGGTCTTCTCTCCGGTCTTCTCTCCGATTAGTTCTCCCCGCATCCCCCGCACCAATCGCGCCACGGTTACCGAACTCCCTCTCTGTCATTCCTTATAGATCAACCTCAAAACCAATTGATCCGCACAACGAATTGCTATTTCCATTTTCTTTACCTGATTGAGTACAATGTCGCAACCACAGCAATACCCTTCTCTACCTCGCGAGAGTACGCTCGCCCAACTCCCGGCAGAATACCCCACCGACACCCAAGACCAAATCTCCCAGATACTCGCAACCTCCACGATCAACCGTCTCGTTGTGCTAGACGACGATCCAACTGGCACGCAAACCTGCCACGACATCAATGTTCTCGCCGTCTGGGACATCCCAACCCTAACAGCAGAATTCCAAAACAATTCAGCGGGATTCTTCATCCTTACAAACTCTCGCGCTCTCCCACCCAAAGAGGCCGAAACCCTAATCAAAACAATATGCTCAAACGTCTCTGCTGCCGCCCAATCTACCGGCAATAAAGTCGACATCGTCCTCCGCGGCGATAGCACACTGCGTGGCCACTTCCCACTGGAAACGGACGTTGCACAGTCTGTCTTCGGTCCAGCAGACGCACTAGTCCTAGCACCATTCTTCTTCCAAGGTGGCCGGTATACCATCAAGGATATACACTATGTCGCAGAAGGAGATCAACTCGTTCCAGCGGGCTCAACACAGTTTGCGAAAGATGCGACATTCGGGTATAAGAGCTCCAATCTACGTGATTATGTACAAGAAAAAGCGGCTGGGCGGTTCTCAAGCGATCAATTGCACTCTGTGACTATTGATGAGATAAGGCGTGGAGGCCCCGAGGCTGTTTGTGAGAAATTGCTCGCCTCCCCAGCAGGTGGTGTGATCATTGTCAACGCAGCCGCAGAGTCCGATATGCACGTCTTTGTTGCGGGTTTGTTACTCGGTATGCCTCCCTTCCCCTCTAAAACAAAGAAGACATGGTCGAGCAAGTTCTAATCCATCTTAGCTGAATCAAAGGGCAAACACTTCCTCTACCGTACAGGCGCAGCATTTGTCTCAACAAGACTCGGTATCCGCTCCAAAGCCCCCATAACCGCGACCGAGCTTGAACTCCCCCTCACCACGACAGACTGGTGGCCTTATTCTTGCGGGCTCATATGTACCAAAGACAACAGCCCAGCTGAAAGTGCTGACAGACCGCCGTGGAAGTATGGGTCAACTCGCAATAATCGAAATCAAAGTCGAGGAGCTTATCGCTTCGCCTGAGACGGCCGCGGAGACTGTATCGCGTATCGTCAAGGAGACGGAATCGCATCTAAGTGCTGGGACGGATACGCTGGTTATGACTAGTCGGAAGCTTATTACGGGGAAGGATGAGCTTTCGTCGTTGAGCATTGGGGCTGCTGTAGCCGAGGCGCTTGTCAGTGTTTTACAGCGGATTGAAGTACGGCCAAGGTATATTATTGCAAAGGTATGGTTTCTTCTTCACCGTTTGGCTTAATGCTTCTTTGTGACTGTGGTATATTGACGTTTGTTTCTCTTTAGGGTGGTATTACCTCTTCTGATGCGGCAACGAAGGGCTTGAATGTCAAGCGGGCTTTGATTGTTGGTCAAGCTGCTCCTGGTGTGCCTTTGTGGAGGTGTGATGAGACTACATCTCGGCATCGGGGTGTGCCTTTCGTTGTATTTCCTGGTAATGTGGGTGGAGAGGAGACGCTTTGTGAGTTGGTTGAGGGATGGAGTTAGATAAAAACACTAGACTATATGAGATTACATGGAAGATGCAATTCAACTTGATGGGACTGTATTCTTAGCTGTAAACTTTACAAAGTAACTTCAAAGAGTAATGGACTCCCACCAGAAGCTAACACTAGCGCCAGCACGCAGTCCACGGATGTAGTGCCACCACCCGATTGGAATGTACAAGCACTCACCCTCATGCAGGACAGTCTCAACGTACTCCGCCTTCTGGAAGCCAGGCCACTGCTCCTCCCAGTGTTCAGCCTCTGCGGGTGACAGCTCGATCGCTGCAATATCGACCTTGGAGGTGTTGGACATGTCAATCAGTCTCTTTGTGGGTTTCTGGTCTGGCGCACCCTTCTCCGGTGCTGATGTTACCCACTCAGATTCACGGGGGTGGATTTGTGAAGCTGGGGTATGTGGTGAGTAGAGACGGACGTACTTAGTACCGACAACCTGTACTAGGATATTGTGGTAGGCATCATGGTGTAAGGGGGAGATGGTCCATGAGGGCCCAACCCAGGTATTGATAAGAGGCTCACTAGGCATGCTTGTCTGTGGGCTATTGTCGGACTCATCGTCAATAGATGGCGGTGATGGCGGTTCCTGCTCATCTTCAGGGTCGGTAGAAAGCTGCAGTGTCTCAGTGATCTGAGCCTTCAATTCGGTCTGCTTGCGTCGTTTCGCGAGATACACTGGAGTTCCAGCCTCCGGAAGAGGCGGATCAATGTAGCAATAATCAGGAACTGCAATGTCATTGCGGAGCTCGGGAATCTGGCGCATAAGATCGTGTTGTGCCATGTACCCTGTCTCGCCAGACTCTTGCTCAGAAGGTGACTGGTCATCTTGGTGGCCATTCCAGAGATACTTCTTAGCAAATTCTTGGATTTCCATAATCTTCTGGCCCCACTCTTCGTCTGTGTACGATCTACCGACTTCCACAGGAATCAAACGTTTGCCGTTCAGTGTGCGATTCCACCAGTATTCGCGCGAAGCCCAGGGCCGGGTATTCATTGCAGGCCAGTGGTCGACATTATCGGTAATCACGAGCGGGGTTCGGATATTTTCGATATGGTTCTCCATATACGCCATGGTAGGATTTGATACCCGGGGAATGGGGTGATCTAAACGGGGTTCGGGAATTGAGGTGGGGGGGAACATGGTAGGATGCATGTCTGGCACGGTCTTTTGTCGCTTTTGGGGAGGGCCCTCTGGTTTCATAGAATCTTCAGATTCAACAGGCTCATCGCCCCATTTGTCCGTGGCCAGTTTGATTTCAGAAAATAATCTGTTAATCAACTGCTCGCGACCACGTCCACCCGTCATAATCAATGTCATGTCAAGGGCATGAATAGCCTCTTTCACCCAGCTCGCTTCAATATTGATTTTTGTAGTTGCTTTGTAGCCCTTAAGCTCCTCGGTGAGTTTTTCAATATTGATTTGGGCCTTCTCAGCTAAAGGAGGATACTGTGGAGCGAGACCGCAGTTGAGGATGATAAGGTAACATGCTTTCACGATCGACGCGTCAGTGTAAAGGTTATGCCAGCATTCAGGAACCTTGTGCAATGGGAACACATTCAGTTGTTCATAAGCGTAAGCAATGGCGTCGTTGGGCTTATTGAAAAGCAGTTCTTGAATTGGCTCCCCGTATTCGATGACTGGGTCATCGCTCAGAGTGGAAAGTGCCTGTTTAATCGCTTCGGCGAGACTCATGGCGACAAAGGACGGTGCGGTTTGGCAGGAACAATGGAGGGCTCACTAACGACGGAATCTCACCAGGCGCGTAGCCAAATTCACAATCGTTTAGCCCTCACACAAGAGAAAGAGGGAACGAATGCCCTGAAGTAGTTTTGAGCTGTTTCAAGCCAACAACTGAACCTGCCTTAGATAGTAGACGAAGATCTGCTAAGATCTTTCATGGAACGCGTAGCAAAATTCACGAGAAATAGCTTCGTAGATAGAGAGGAAATTCATGAGATGTAGCAGAAATCACAATCGTGTAGCATCCATGGATGCGCGTATGCGGGGGTCAAGAGGGGAAGGCGAGGAGTGTGAGTCTAAGTTGTAAGTAACTGAAGCTGTCTTCATCAAAGGTTTGTCTTATCGATAACGATAACGATAACGATAACGATAAGAGCTCCATGGCTGGTATAAGCGGGGTTCAAACCCTGGAAGGTCCCGAGGTCCATTTCACAAGATGTTATAAGTATACTTTGGAATTTGACGGTCACAGGAAGTTCAAATTGCTGTTGATCAAAGTCCACGGGTGTTGATATATAAATATTCATAGTTGATTCAAATGCTTGTCCAATGCTGAGCATGTACAATAACCTCGTGGGATATATATTTTCAGCAATCGTGCTGGACATGAAAAAGTGAACGATAGCCATGCAAACGCAAGCAGGGCAGATTCCTTGGAAGGAAAGAAGGGAGGAAATATCATATACTATGCAAAGCGCATGGTGAGACGCAAAAGCACAGGGAAGGAAACGCTCTATCTTGTGCGCTGGAAGCCCATGAATTGCATCATGTGACCATATCTAGCTCTGAGTAGGCAAAGCTCCTTCAAATATTGTTATGCGAGGCTGACAGGCTGACATTCGTGGCTCTCCGACAAAGCATATAGTATTGCACGGTGCTTTAGGACAAACTTCCAAGGTTGGAACTTGACCTGGAGCAATTCAATAGTACGAAGTCCATAGACATTCCGTTATACTAACAACATTCTCAGCCAAATGGCACATAAACCTAAAGCTTTGGAACAATCGTCCCACCAGGTTTTCATCAGGCACCCCATTTTCAGGCCAACACAGAATCTGGTCTCACCGTCCCGCCTTATGCCAACGACCCCATCCATGCATGAAGCCGACGTGGCTGACGGATCGACCTGTCGAAGACATAACTAGCCAATAATACGCCCCGAGCTCTAGTATTGCCCCAGTTAGAACCAAACGCTTATGCACAGATCGTCGCTGGCGCAAACATCATACTACTAGCTTGACGGGGCGGCTTTGAGCCTGGACCTGACGTTGGGGACGTACTTTCCCTCGTACGCGTTTCCACTTTGTGTATTAGTGACATTGTCCACTAAGGTCCCTAAATATACAGGATTTGAGGCTCACAAAAACAGTCTCACATTCACCTGGGATATCTCCGGGATAAGCCAGCAAAATCGACCGCGCATCCATGAAAGTATAGGTTGGCTAAATAGGCTTTCGATGCCCGGCGCATCACAGAAAGTCAAAAATATTGGATTTGAACGACGCTAATCAATTCCTGATTGGTGACGGTACTTTTGTTTGATTCTCGCTCAGATTCGGCTGCAAGGCTAGACCCCGGGTGATCCATTTCGATGTGGCTAATTGACCCGAGCCTTGTGCGTGGGTGGCTTTACACTTGCACTTAAAAAGAATGGATGGGCCAGAACATCAGATCCCTGTTTACTGAAAATCTTGATCGAAACTGGGAATCTCCTCGACAATATCCCAGTCGGTGGGGTAGAGTGCATCAAGACGGGATTACCCCTGCTTGTTCCCAATTTTGGAGCTGTCATGGAGCCCGGGTGGTCTGTTCAACTGCATTCGGCGTACGGCGCCTACGTGACTTTTGTGTACATACAGGACTGGTTGAGATTGTTTGCCGAATTGAAAATCTGGACTTACAAAGTACATTGTGGGTATATGTGCGCTCCTGTTGCTTGGAGTGATTCGCCAGTGTGGTGCCGAAGGTCATGAACCGTGGGCCAAGATACATATCCGAAAGGGTAATCTCTCAAAAAAGTCAGTCATGGGGCTAATGCGACGGGTAATGCACAGACACTCAGATCAGTGATTGATTCGACATGCATAAGGTGACGAGATCAGGAATCGGAACCTTGATCGCATGGTGTGCAGCAGGGACCGGGGTAAGGAGAATTCAATGTATCAAGAAGTGCGGTGATTTGGAATCATTTGAGCAAGGTCACCGAGACAGTGCAACCACCACATCTCATGGATGTCCCTGTTTCTACAATGATTGGTCCAACATCCTGGTCCCCTGCTGAGCTGATCACAGTTCTGGTCCTCGGATGGCTGTCACATCTGCAGCGCGTAGGCTCTGGGCTGGCAATTAACCCAGGACAAAAGTACGAGAAATGGATCCATGATGATTTAGCTTGTACTTCTGGCAAGTACGGGTCCCAACAAATTCATGTCTATATGCAACAGTTCATTTTGTGCATGATAAGCTGTAGATTTGACGTCAATCAAACCGACTGAGGTCATGATATGAAAGATTGGTAGAGTCCAGACCATCTGAGAATAGAATGAATGCTGTTTATTCGATGCAGAAAACTTGGAAACTTAGATGCAGTGAGTCTCAAAAATGGGCATCGAGTCAACAATCCTTCGATTGCAATAAGTTGGTATATAGATGTGCCTAGATCGCGAGACCGAACAAATCGAATAGCATCAATTTTGGCAGGCCCACTCAGTATACGACCATCGCCAACAACCTTGGAATGAAGTACTCCTTCGCATCCTTCGGTGCAGTATTTCATCACACCAGGTTAGAACATTCGTCATCCAGCATAAGCAACTAGTCTCTGGATAGCAGTTAGCACCGAATTATACATACAAGCTGGATTTTTGGCCCCCGGGGGCAAAAAAACAATCGTACGTATAGCACGAATGTACAGTAGTCAATCACTGCAGGGGCAATTGGATGCATCCAACGAGACTAAAATACCCAGAATGCCACCGCCCCGCACGGAAGGACCGAGTCGGAAAAAAAGCGACTAAGTACGAAAGTCCAAAGTACGTGTCAACTCCCGGGGACAAAGTACGCGCCACGAAAGCCGGCAGAAAGAGGTATCCACTAAGAAGCGAACCCCTGAGATGCAAAGCCAAGGGAATCGAAACTCAAAGTTCAGTGTCCCAGGTACCTGTATACGTATATTGGTGGGGAAGGTAGATCTTCAAACAAAGAAAGAAAAAGCCGTCAATCCAGTGTGGCGAACACAAGGCGCAAGGGTGGAGATCTCGATCATGGACAAAAGGACTCTCACATGACCAGAACGCGGGTCAATAGTGCGAAAATCATAGCAAGGGGAATGACTTCAGCTACCAATTGGCAGACTTAAATTTCTTACCCATCACCGCGGCACCGGATCCTGCATTCCGATGGGACTTGCGTCGCCACTGGTGGAAGGACTAGTAGAGGGATCATTCCCGTTGGTCGGGGGGATGTGACAAAGAAACCGGGTGAAACGGGAGTGGGCGAATTGGTAAAGTTGTAACGGTAACGGAGTACAAACAATTCGGTCATAGTGGAGTACGTTGAGATTGACCCGGTTCCATGGCTTCCTTTGTTTTTCCCGTTTTCCCCTGGCGGCTCCGGAGGGGCAAAAGAAAAAAAACTGGGCCCATCCACTTTGACAAAGCAGTGTTGAAGGCGATCTGCTTTCATGATTGGTCCGCGGATGCATAGATCGAATCCCCGGACCAAGTTGTGGATTTCTTTTCTTTTTGAAAGTGGTACACTAAAACATATCGCTTATAGCTGAGAACCCGCAGTCGAAACAGCCTCGGTGATCAAAGTGAGAATGTGATCGAATAATCTTGGGGAGTCGTAATCAATCCATGGCCAAGTGAAGTGGAAAATAAAATACTCGGTGTTTCCAGTTGTTCCAAGGTTCGTATCGATGAACCTTAGAAAAGTTTGTACCACCGAGTAATCTACTCTGTAGTACTTTAGTCAATCTGCAAAGTACCTGTCAGCACTAACGCGAGTTGGACCCCTCAAGCTCAGAGTCTAGATCGGTATTTGAAGTGGCTGATGTTCGGTACTCAACCTGTCAAATGATCCACCATGGGGTCGAGACCAGCTAAGCTCAGGGAAAAAGCAATCCGGAAGGCCCCCGCAGTGAAACCCGTATTCGAAGAATCACCTAGATCATGACCCGGGTGATTAGGCATAGCACTGAACCTTGAGCAATAAACTTCAGTCTCGATCGATCGGAAGGCGCGGGAAGTTACGTATAATGCGCCCATCGCAAATGGCGGCATTGTCGTGATAACCCGCTGGTCTCAGCAGGGAAGTCTCAGACTAGAGCGAAGTCAACCTCGCGTTTCAAGCTGCATCCCGTATCGGGAACTCTCGATCACCCAAGAACCAAGGAGTCGGTAACTGGGTGATCTACATTACCTCATGTAGCTTCAGTATCCCACTTTTTCTTAGGGATGTGTATGAGCCAGGTACCCTTGTATAATGGTGATTCCCCACTGTAACCCCTTCCTTGCACTTTCCCAGCCGATCCCAGCATCATGTTGGAATGTGAGTAGAAACATTTTTGCTCGGAAAGTTGATACATCACAATTGACTTTTGACCGCATTTGTTTTTAGCTTGCTGGTATCGGGGGCCGAAAAAAAGGGCCTGAGCGCAGTACTCTCCGAGTGGAATTTGGGTGGGAAAAAGAGGTAAAAGAGAAAGATAATTTGCTGAAATGTGCCTTACATTCTCATGATAGTGATGTCGCTTTCGCTTATGCTGATACTGTGCTCGGGTTTCCCGGCACCAATAACTTAGCTGTCAGAAACCCGACAATCTGGCACGACATCTGCGCTGGCGTCGATCCCGAGCCCCGATCTATAAGATCGAACCTGATCTAGACAAACGCCATTTGCAAGGGCTAAGCCAGACCATTCGTAAGCCTCGTAAATGCTTGCCTGATGAA